TAATAAAACCACCATAGTCGCTTTTACACGTAAAAGAAAACTAGATCACATGAGGCTAATAACACTGTGATAGAAATCAACAAAGAGGTCAAATATCTGGGCATCACACTAGATAAAGCACTGACATTTAAGAAACACATAGGCTCTACCATTACAAAGGTGACGCGAGCGTTTATGGTGTGCAGAAGAATAGCAGGGAGGAACTGGGGATGTAGACCGGAAACCCTGCTTTGGACTTACACCATGATGGTAGGTCCATAGTTACATAATGAGCCGTAGACTGGGCCGATAAAGCAGAACAAGTAACTAAAAGAAAAGAAAAGAACTCACAAAAATACAGTGACCTGCGTGCAATGAGAACATGTCCCATAGTTAGTATGGAAAAAGTATTGGGATTAATCCCCCTACACCACATGGTAATGAGGACAGCACAGAGAACTATCATTAGTATTATCAAAGAGAAACCTCTAACAAGAATAAAACTAAAATGGAGAGACAGCAATAAAATAATGAAAGACCATCTGATACTCATGGCTCCAAGAGACGACATGAACAGGATGTTTGAATTTAATCAAAACTTCCAAATAAACCTAGGTACCAAAAAAGAATGGGAACGAAAGTAAAACACCTCCTTTATGAATGGCACGGTCTTTTGGTACACAGATGTATCTAGAACACAAGAAGATACAGGGACAGGAGTCCTGGAACCTAATACTCAGAACCCATGAGAAAATACTCCAGTATCTTCCAAGCTGAGATTCACGCAATCGAGAGATGTACTCAACTTGACTAAAAGGTACTCAACTTGACTAAAAGGTACAAAAACAAGAACACCGCTATCATGTCAGATAGCCAAGCAGCCGTAAAACACTAAGCTCAAATATTATTAGTTCAAAGATGGTGTTGAACTGCAAAACCAAATTAAACATATTAGGTATGCAGAACATAGTCAGCCTGTGCTGGGTCCCAGGACACAGGGGAGTAGAAGGCAACGAGAAAGCGGACACCCTTGCAAGGAAAGGAGCTGCTACACTGCTGATAGGACCAGAACCCTTCTGTGACATAGGAACCCACACTATCAATGAGTATCTCGGACAGAAGCACAAAAAGAAAATGAAGGATCAATGGAATTCACTCAATTGGACCCAAGCAATCCAAGAATCTCCTAACAAATTTCGGAAAAAAAGAAATTACAGAATGTGTCAAAGGGAGCAGGAATAAACTGCGAAGCCTAATAGGATTCTTAACAGGACACTGCAAGCTAAATGTACACTTAAAGAAGATTGGAATAATCCAAGACGGCACATGCAGATTCTGCAAAGAGCAGAGGAGACACCAACACACCTACTAACAAACTGCGGGCAAGTCAGGAGGAAGTGCTTTGGTTTTTACAATGTGATCATAGAAGAGATTCAACCATTGAAAGTTAATTGATGAAATAGGACTCACCGGTATGCTTTAGGCAGAGAACGGGGTATACAATAGCTCTTAAAAGGCGCAGTATATTACACCTCGACTATTACATCTACATCTACATCTTATATTCTATTACATTTATAATTTAATATTATCCTTGTTATATATTAAAAGATATGATCATCTTTCATCAACAAGCCGCATGTATATGAAAGTTGGTCCCTTAATCGCGATAAAACAAACAGTTAAAAACGCAGAAAATTCATATAATTTTGTCATTGCATCGGTGTGTTCTAAAAGGATTGAGTCAGGGACATAAGCAGGGTGGGGCACTGACTTCGATACTAACGATGTACTGTAGTACATGTCCTTCCACCAAACATTTGCCACAAAACGTTAGGACTTAGGCTTAATAAATACATAGTAGTAAAACAAAATTCATTTGTCAAAATACTACAAAAACCACTGTCAGTTTTAGGTTTTTTGTTTTTTTCTCATAATTTTCAAACTGAACATTTTATAGTAAGATGGTGAAATTACAAAAAAATTATTGATTTATTTTTGTGGTTCTCGATCATCCTGGTCTTCCTATCCTCGCATGAACTATCTTAAGCGGTTGGACAAAGTAATAAGCAAGGTGACTCCTTCCATTTATCTAATTTTTTCCTATTCCACCTGGCTTATCCATAGTTCTTATAGATAGGGTTCGCCTGCTTATGTCCCTAGCCAGCCATTTAAGATAGGGAAATATCTACTCTCGTCTGATAGACAAAACGGGGAAAATTATGAAGCTCCAGGTCCATCATATCACAGACCTCAAAATAACATTTCACAACTTATAAAAATTTTAACTTTGTAGTTTTCGATCTTCCTGGTCCGCCTATCTAGCTGTTTTGGTCTGTCGAAAAAGGTTTCGGTTTTGCTCCATTTTAGATAATTAGTCACGGATGTAATCAGGATGAACTTCTGACTCATTTTATATATTTTGCTTATGTCAGCATTCAAGAATTTATTATTTATTTTACAACTAACATTATTTGTAGTATAATCATTTCTGATCATAGTAAGTCTGCCTAACTTCGTTCGCTTGGACTGTAAGAAAGAACTTCGTCATTTCATTATTTCAGTGATTGGTCAGGGTTATAAGCAGGGTGAAGCACTGACTCCTTTCATTTACGCAAATTTTTCCTATTCAACCGGAGTTTCCAAATTTCTTATAAATAGAATTCTGTCTTTTGTCACTCCCTGCTTTTGACCCTGAACAACTTTTCATAATGGCGAAATAGCAAAACGTATCTGACAAACAAAACGGACGAAACTGGGAAGCTTTGAGGCCATCAGCTCGCAGACTTCGAGACGATATTTCACAACTGATATAATTTGCAATTTTGTAGCTTTTCTCGCTCATTTCATCCGTCAAAAAATATTTCGGCCTTTGCGGTTGGTCAAGTCTGTAAGTAGGGTGAGGCACTGACTCCTTCCATTCACGCAAATTTTTCTCATTCTTCTGACAATTGGCTTATCCAAAATTCTTATATAATAGGATTCTGTTTTTAGACTCACCCTGCGTATGTCCCTAAACAACCGCTCAAGAAGAAGCTTCCTTCATTCCACCATTTTCGCAGTCCTCAAACAATGAAGGCATACAACCATGTAAAATAATCGTAGTCACAAACAAAACCCTCTCGTGAAAATCAGATTATAAATGCGACTCCAGTTAAATTATCTTATCTATACTTTTGTTATTATAAATTTGAATCAAAAATCAAAATAAGTAAGAAATAAGACTTAAAAGTCTTAAAATATGAGATGATTCGAAACTTCTGTTCGACATGACATTTGGGCTTAGAAAAATTGTATCCGTCAACATTTTGGACGGCTCTTCTGCATCGAGGGGCTTCAAGGATTTTTCACTTCTAAGCTGCCAACCTACATAAACTTACTCTGAAGTTTTGATCCTCTGATTTATACGTTCGGTGATTGTCAAGGATCAAAAGTGGTTGTCAGTTGATATATATATATAAAATACGATACTCCCACCGGACGTTTTCAAGTTTATATACGGAACTAATTAACAACCGTGTTGCCCGAGTCCTTTCAAGATGTTTACCTGTCACAAATTTTGCCCCAATTGATACTAACCGGGGGGGAAACTTTTATAAATTATTTGTGGACAGTTTGCAGGTCAATTCAATTTATCTACGTCTATATTTAAATTTCGGGGCACGTGGATCGCAAACGGCCCAAATTGGCCAAAACCTAGAGGTGTGGCGAGTTTTTGAACCTCCTCTGCCAATATCATTAACATGAAGTTTATAATTAAAATACTGGCTATATTTAGTGTTTAATCGTTTGTAAGGCTTTCTAAATAATTATTTCCTTGATGAGTTTTTTTAAAATAAAATTGTGCAGGTGCAAAAATTAATTATTTGATGAGGTTCCAATAAAAATCTTCTTTTTTTTTCAATTATACCAACTTCGTGTTATCCCAATCTCATACGTTCCAAATCAAACAGATAAAAACGAACAACTCATAAAACTCCACCTATTTCCAGCTAGTTTACACTTCCTGTGTTTAGATTATAATATTTTGTGTTGGGACGAGGCTGGTTGGGGAATCTGCTGGTCTTTGGTAAACATCGACAAAGCATCTGAACTTTGATGAGTTTTTCGAATCCAACAGCTTTTTAAAGGAAAGAAAACAAAAGTTTAATAATAATTGTTAATTGTTTATCTTGCCCTTTAAAAAGAAAAGGCGATCAATGCTACACGTGTAGTCTTTTGTTTGTTTAACCGTTTTAAATATGTAAAAAACCAATGAGATGGCAAATTAAGCCGACTTCAGAAAAGCTGACATGAATAATGGGACAAATAAAACATTTCCTAAACTAGGACCTCCCTTGTAGTTGTTCTGTTTTATCGTTGCAACTATCTTGATTAATATCTCAATCCATTAGATACAGTTGCTTGTTTAACACCTTAGAAGATATATGGATAAAAAAGTTGCCAATTCCCTTCCATTGTAAGGTATTAATGAGGCGGGCGTTCTACAGAGGGAACTACCATTTTTTGGTAACATTCCAGCTTTCACAACTGAAATCACACACCTAATTGATCAAAGGTCAATTAAACCTTTTAAGATGGAGCCCAATCAAGAAAGTACACCGAATCTCGATAAAATCGTGACACCTAATTGATTGATACCAATTAGTCGCAGTAGGCCTTTTTCGACCTCTTCCAAACCACACTTGGCAGAGGTTTATCCGGCACCGGTGTCCATACAAAAGAATGAATGGACTTGGTTGAATTGAACAGAGTTTTGGCTTGAGAGACTGGAAAGATTGTCAATGAGCTCACAATAGGTGGCACTATCCCATTCATGAACCATCTGGCCCTTTGCCCGCCCTGAATAAAATACAATGATGTATATACATATTAAGCATTACGTCTCCCGTTGGAATGCTCATGATTGTTTAAAATGCGATATTCCTTTTTTCTTTCTTTTTGGCACGATTGTTGAATGACAGAAATGGTTATAGTGGCACTTCTAATCCAACACAATTTAATTTATCTCTCCTCTGCAGGTGTTTGTTTTTGAGAACGACGAGCTGTTCGCCACGTATTATCTTCATGAAGATATTGCTGATATCCTCGTTATTGGAAACTTAGTCTTCAACGCCAGAAACGTCGACGTGTCCGTCACAGAGATGATGCCTGGTTTGTATTGTTTACAAAAATTTAAAAATCTTTAATAAACCATTGCTAACATTTTCAAAAAATCTACTACTGATCTGCTAAACCATTTGACTAAGAACTTTTTTTGTTTAACTTGCGCATTGTTATTTATGCACTAAATGGCATAACATGGATTGAAATTTAAGATCTTACATCATTTTTGTGATTTTGTGAGATTTTTCATATAAGATCTTGGGACGATGACGGAAAATCTAACTACGCGATTTACCTCACAGAAACCAACACTTAACCCTTTAATCATACAAGCATAAAACTACTACTACTAACAAGTTCCAAAAATTGGCATACTTGAAAACTTTGAAATATGTATATAAATACAAATTAGCAACAGCTCACAAAGGTACATCCACTCAAAACATTAAACCAATTAAAAATAAAAAAATCCAATCATAAAGACCGCAACAATTTTCAAAAAAGAAAAAAACGCCGACGCGCCACCACACCTGTGACAACCACATAAATCAGACTTGACTTCGCAGAAATCGCACAGACACTGAAGATGGCGCATTGCCCTACATGTTTGACACATTATCACTAGAATCTCATAAACACAAATTAGCAATAGCTCACAAAGGTACATCATTTACACCATTCAAAACATTAAACCAATTAAAAAGAAAAAATCCGATCGCAAAGACTGACCGTAACAACTAAAAAAGAAAAATACGTCGACGCGCCGCCACACCTGTGACGACCACATAAAACAGACTTGACTTCGCAGAAATCGCACAGACATTGAAGATGGCGAATTGCCGGACATGTCTGACAGACAAAAAGGTCGAAACTTTCAGGTTCGGGTGCATCACTTCGCAGAGATCAGCACAATCTTTAACAACTAACATTGTTTTCGATTTTCTTGGTCCGCCTATCTATGCTTGTTTGGTCTGTCAAAAAAATCCGAAAGGTCTCGGCATTGCACAATCTTCAGCAGTTCGTCACGGTTATAAGCAGGCAAAGGCGCTGACATTTATTCACAATTTTCCTATTGAACTGGAGTATTCTATAATAGGATTTTGTCTCTTGATCCTCTCTGCTTGTTACCTGACTAGCTCTGATGATGGCGGAATACCGAAATATCTGACGGACAAAACAGGCGAGACTGTGCAGCTTCAGATCCATAACAACATAAGATTTCAGAACTTTTTCTAATTTATAGCTTTGTCCGATCTTCCTGGTCCACCTATCCTCGCTGGTTTTCTCTTTACCAGCTTTAGGTTTTTATTATTCTTTCATAATTTTTCAACTAGGGTGAAACGCTCATCTTCCATTCATGTAAATTGACTTACCCAGAGAAGATAGACCAAAATAATCGGTAATGCCAAAATTGAATTTCGTGATTTTATTTCATGGAATTTAGATTATGTCTATAATAAATATTGGTATTTTGGACAGTTTTTTTCTTTAGCGTGTGACTATAATGTTACAACCAAAAAAAAGGTAATTTGAGGCCTGACCGTCTCAGATCAACCTGGTCGGCTTTTTTCTCGCAGGTTTGATCTGTCGGGGACGTTTAAGCTTCGCGACATCTTTAATGGTTGGTCAGGGACATAAGTAGGGCGAGGCAGGACACTAAAATCTTTTCATACCTTTTCATAACTACTATTTCATAAAGTATTTCATACTAATTTTGGATAAATCGATTCTCAATTGATTTAGAGCGTAGACAGACCCCTTAATCCTATAAGAATTTCTCCAATGACAATTAATGTAGTGTTTTTCTCAACCTGCTTATAAATCTGACCAACGATTTAAGATGGTGAAATGCCAAAGCCCGCCTGATGACAAAAACTGACCACAATGGGCAGACCAAAGATGAGCGGATGCTGATGAATCAACAAACTCATCACCTTGCAGGCCTATGGTTCATTGTGAGATTTCTCGAGATGTGGGGTGATGAGCCTGAAATTTGACCGTTACTGGCCATTTTGGCTCATCTATCCTTGCTGGAGTGGTCTGTCAGAAAGGTTTGACAATAGGTTCTTTGCGCCATCGGAGGCAGGGAGAAACGCTGTCTCCTTTCATTCCTGTAAATTGACATATCCAGCGAGGTTTGCAGCAGTTGGGTCGTTTTTGGTCTGCCTATCCTACCCTCGCTGCTTTGGTAGACTCCATGGAGAAATAACACAATATTTTTTTTAATTTTTAAATTTCTAGGACCACGTTTTGGATACATGTCGCGAGGAGCTATGATCGGCCGATTTCCAGTGCGAAAGGTTGGAGATAAGGTCTGTTTTCTCAGCCGCTGCGCCAAACAGGTCTACGTCCACCATTCGACGAAGGAGGAGAAATTCAAGAGGGTCGCTGAAATCAAGGTAACATCACGTTGTAACCAATGAATCTTTCTTCAAAATTACGTTTTGTTATTTTTTTAAATCAAGGTAACGAGGTATTTATACTCGGCCACAGAATCTAGGAGAAAAAAATGAAACACTGAAGAGAAATAATTTGGCAATGGACATATTTTCTTTCCTCTCTTATAGTAGGCCCCCTAATAAGCAGGCATTTATTATCAAAATTGGCCGAGCTTTAGAACAGTTTGGCACGTTTTTTCCCTCATTAACATTAAATTTAAATTTATAATTTAAAGCTCATGATAAAATAAGAAAAAATAATTAAACAAATTGTTTGTTATTCAAGATAAATTGTATTCAACTGTTTTAACTGAAGAGAAAAACTATTCAAATTACTCTAAAAATATTCTCAAATATTGTCACGAATAGTAGGCTAAGCAAGGTAAACCATTAAATATGGATGCTAGCAGTTTTGGGATCGAATCCCGGCATAGACCATAGAATTTTAATTGAAAATAAATTGAAAAAATTCTGTGAAGTGGTTTGTCCCCATGTAAAAATAATAAAAAAAAGAGTAAAAATACACTCAATGGGTATTCTTTCTTTAGCTCTCATGTATGGCTTTACTTTAAATATGTGAATTTTAAAGGCTAATTATTCAAAATTTCTGCATAAACATACATATTTCTTTCATTAATGACTGCATCTCATGTTTTACTGATAGTCTTCAATTTTGCACAGGCCCACGATATGACCATATCGGCGATGACCCACGTTCCCGGAAAGGAGCATATAATGGTCTCCGGAGGCTACGACAGGGTGCTCAAGGCGTGGGACATCAACACCAAGAAGATGTTGGCCAAGGTCGACCTGGGCGTTTGCATCAATGATATTTGTCCAGGAGATGAAGGCAAGCTGTACGTCTCCAGCAGCGAGGGCTACATCTGCATGGTCGACGCTTTGTTCTAATAGGCGAAAACAAAGGCTAAGATTAAAAGAGAATCCCTGTGGATAAGTCTCGTTTCACAAAATATCCTGGACGTCCTGATAAACCAAGAGTTTGTTTTTTATTGTTTGCGTTCCCTATTCTGCAGTACATACTTGTTGGGTTTTCCCTCTTTTGGACTGAAGGGCAATCCGAAAGGCTATCTTGCTCAGTATTACCTCAAAGTCTTAGCATTTATATATTATTATTTTTAATATATTGCTGTTACGATTGTTAAAATCTGGAAATGGACAAAATCAAATTGTTAAAAGTTTTTTTGTGATGTCAATTACAATTTAGAAAATTGTTAGTCCCTGCCCTTTATCCCAAATAAAAGTCTTAAGATTACAGATTTCCCAAAGATAACTGCAAAAATAAAATATTTTTCCAGAATGATTTTTTATTTGATATAAACCTTCTCACATGACCCACAAAAAATATAAACACATAATATAATTAGAATTAAACATAAGTTCATTTTTCAGCATGGTCTTAGGTCACTTCAGATAAGTCACAGAATTAATAGAGAAGTTATTTTAGATAGTTTTGCCTGTCAGGCCAGTTTTGTCATTTTGCATTATTCAGAGGTTGGTCTGTGTTCTCAGAGCATACACTGCCCTTTCACATTTTACACTTATAAAACAATCCTCTCTGGCAAAAACACGCAGCCCAACCAGTGAAAGTGGCTAATCTAAAAAACCTCTCTGATCTTTTTAGTCACTTCTGCAATGTTCTTACTGACAGAACAAATACAACTTTTTACATTTTACATGCTTATAAAACGTCCCTGCTCATAAAATAACACAAAACCCAACAGCAGAATGACAAATCTGATAGACAAAACCAATGATTATTCCCATACCCGGATAATAAAAAACAATAGAGCCTATTTTTTACTATAACTATTCCTTTATCAATAGCAACATAATTAATTGAAATTCACAGCTTAATCCCCAATATATATCCATGCATGCATGTTCATTATATATGAAGGAAAAAAATATTATTTTAATTAAAAAAATATATATTCTGCACATGACCCAAAATTCTTGGCTGTAATTGTACAATATGGGAATGAAAAATTCAAAAACAAAAAGTGTTTTCTCTGTTTGGCTGCCAGATTTTCTGTAAGAAGTTGTTTTCTGGTCTAAATTGGCGCCTGTTGTCTCTACAAACAAAGTCTGAACTTTCAAAACAGGACGTGTTGAATGACAAACAAAACAAAGAAACAATATGGCAGGTGAATTTTTCAATGTTTACTCAGTTTCAGTCGTGAATCAAAGACAGGGAAAACTATGATTGGGAGTGATTTACATGGATTTCTATTAGGAGGGTGAGATCCTGGCGTCAGATACCCTGGCCAACCTCCAACACGATATTCCCGTTCGCATTAGCCAAGGACAGAAGCCGAGGCACAGCTGTCACTTTCATGACATACTCTATAATTTTTTTTTCCTTCACACATATTTATACGTGTTTTACTTTACCGTCCTCTGGCGGATTAAATTAATTGCCGCTGAATCATCCCGTGCTGATACCATTTTACTTAGGGTGTTTTATTCTTTTTAAATCAAATTATATCTACAAAATAAACAGCAAAACATGACCAATATTAAAACCATTTGCTTTTGATATTTTCTTTAAAAAAATAAAAATAAATTATACGTATATACTGATACGTGTATGTCTCTTGTTATCTACAAGACTGTCGAATGTAATGTCATGAAAGCAGAAGGGTAACATGCAAAAGTTTTCAACCCTTTGGGTTTTGTTTTCAAAATTATTGGAATTTTGAACAATATAAAAATCAGCTTATAAATTTTTTTCTTTTTTTTTTTAACAATAAAAGATAAATTTGATAAGTGAAGAAGCGAATACTGCATCAGGTTTTGTCCATTTTCTTTGTGAAGTGGAAAAAAAATGTTCCTCTTTTCATTTTTAAAATGTTTGCCTTTTTTCGATGTTCCATTTGGTATTATGAAAAAACCAAAAGACAACTACCAAGAATATTTAACATGGAATTAAAGGTGATTTTGACCTTTTATTGTAATAAGTTGATCATGATGCTGAAGATGGATAAAATAATACAACGATAATACAGATTTTACCAAGGGAACAAGCATGAAAATTTAAGCATGCTCTTTTTCAACATACCAATGGCTTTTTTGTGAAATTCTGGATAAACTGGTAAAAAAATATTTTATCTTCTTACAGAGCACTTTTGTTTATAAGGAACAATTATTTAAGGAACAGTGTATTATATACATTTTTTTTTGTTATATTGTCAAAAACTTAAAAAAATTTACTACACCACCTGAACTGAGTGAATGGTAATAAATGTGGTAGATAAGAACTGTAAATGTAAAAGTAAGAAATGGAAATAACATATCTTGAGCTTTTTTTAAATTAATTTTAATGTAGGTAATAGAAGTATTAAGTATAGCAAAGTGAAAAATATTTTGCAACATTTGGTATCATTTTTTGTTTAAATTTATAATGGGTGTGAGGTGGAAGGTAAGGACGGGATATTCAAGGGGTTTTTTTTAACAAGAAGACTGTTTCAACAACTAAAAAATATATTTTGAAACAAGTTTATTTTTAGTATTTAATTAATATAAAATAAAGTATTCCCCCGCCTGTATTGTTGAAAGGATGCCTATGCTGCCCAGATCAGGCTGGTGGCTGAAAGACACCAGAACAAGAAGCCAGAGCAATGTTTTTCTTTTCCAAGAGGCCAGGTTTAAAAATCTAGATGTTCACAATACTGGGTCCCGAAGGCAAGAGCCCGAAAAAATCTTCCCCTGACCTTTGCCCGCTTTAGTTTCTTAATTGTAAATAAATTGTTAAAATTCAAAAACATGATTAAAACAAAAAAGGCAGCGTAAGTGGGCTGAATCGGCAGAGAGTTCATGGGCGATCCTCAGAGGATTTGTCTCGTACATCTTCGCCCGATTAAGAATAGGCCATTTGGGGTTGACACAGACCCTTAGTTTTGGGCCAAACCCCACTTATATATCCTGCATGTAGAGAAAGATTGCTGGATGTTTCCACATAATTGAAGGGTGCCACTCCTTGGCTCCATATGGAAAATTGTGCTTGAGCACAACAATTTATCTGCGTCCCTTGCTGAACGAAACAGGGCTTTCTACTGTACACAATACTTTATAGATATCGCTTTTGCTTGATGTTAAGAGTGAATGTATTTATTGTTGTGAATGTGTAGTGTGAGAGAGCTGATGGCTGAATTTTGAGTATTGTATCGATTAGATCGGGCTGAAATGACCTAGCTGTTGATATCCCCAGGAGCCTAAGTTCAAAGACTGGACAGTTAAGACCGAGGTCTGATTCTAGTGGATGATTCTTGAGGCCTGCCAATAATTTATTTTAAATTATAAAAGCTGGAATTGCCAATGGACTGCAAAAAATGATAGGCTCAACTCTGTACATTTTTATTTACATGTACATGCAGATGTAAATTTGAGCTTATATAAATCATTGAATAAAACAATTGATTTAACATTTATTTAAATTTATTGTTAATTAAAATAAAGCTTGTCCTAAAGAACTTTTTTTAATACATAAAAACACATAGTATAGCATGTACTAATTATACATTATTAAACTGGGTATGCATCAAAACATCTACATAAAAAAATAATATTTAATTTGAAATCACAGTAAGTGAGAAAAGAAAAATACCAGGTTTGCTAAAACAAACAAGGTAATAAAATAATAACGAAGAAAACATTTTGAGGGAGTTGGTCAAACAAGTTTTTCCATATGGTGTGTTTCAAAGAGTAATTGCCTATTTAATTCACATGGAATTCATTGCGAAATAGGTTTTGAGAAGGGGCATGTAAAATTCAAGAAAATCTCTTTTCAAACTCTTCACTGCATTATTCCTCGATGTATGCCTTCGAAGTTTTTCAATAAAATATTCATAATGCCGAACACATTCTTTTTGAGAGATTAGTCACGATGGAGCGCGTAACGATGTTGGACCCTACAAAAAACCCCATAAAAGGGTTTAAAATGATTTTAACAGTCAGTAGTATTCAAATTTACGACAAAAAGTACGCCCTGGTTATCCCAATCGCCTGGTTGATTTGTAGTTTCATTTCATTAATATTTTTTATCATTACGATAATGAAAATCAAAACTGCAGATGATATATTTGCATTTGTTCATCATTTTGTTGTATATTTGTCCTTTATCAATTCAGTTATATGGTCTTATTACAAGAGAGACAACTGGGACAGACTAATAGATGGTATAATCTATTCATTTTTTTTTTAATTTTAATTTTTGTTGAATTAAATTGCTTAACAGGTACACATATAACGTTTGAATATCGAAGTGAAATAATGTATAAGAAAGTTGCTGAAATGACAAAACCCAGAAAAGAATGGCTGCAGAAAATATTAAATTTGTCGATTTTTTTTCTGATCTTCAACATCCTAAATATCTGGTTGTATTCGTTTATTGAGAAAATTCAAGGAAACAAACCTCATTTAATTTTGTTTCCTGTCTTTCCGCCTTTTGATATGGATTATTTGCCATGGCAATTGGTCGTGCTTTTGTGGCAGCAACAAGTGATTTCGGCTATGCTTTTTACCGTTTACGGAGTTCTTGGGGCACTGACGATATTTTATGATTATATATCAAATGAAATCAGCTTATTGAAATTTGCTATGCTTCATATAGAAGAAAGAGCAAAAGAAATGATGAAAACGACCAAAATGAAATATCAAAATCTTACAGAACAGGAGTTGTATAAAAAATGTTTGATCGCTTGTACAAACCAATGTGCGAAACATCATTCAATTATATATGAGTAAGGGTATATAAAACAAAACAAAAAACAAAATTAAAATTATTATTCATTTTTAGTTATTATTTAAACGCTATTCAAGCAGTAAGGTACACATATTTCATTGTTGTGATAGTAGGGATAGTCGCATTAGTCTGTGGTGGTGCAACAATAATATTTGTAAGTCTGTTTCAATATAACTTTACATTCAAATTTTAAAAAAAATTTTATTAGGGTTCTATGAACATAAAGACTAAATTTTTTGGAATGATAATTGCCACACTGATTTTCTTATATCTGGCATTTTGGTTTGGGAATGAAGTTCGTGATTTGGTAAGGTTTTAAATGTCGAATAGTCAAGTAAAATTAATGTTTAATGAAATATTTAATTGAAGAGTGATACAATACCATGGATTGTATACGACATAAACTGGTTGGAACTTCCAAAAGAGTGTCATAGCACGTTGAGAATCATGATGACGAGGTCGATGAAACCAATGGCACTTACGACTTCCCTGGGTCAAAATGTCGACTTGGAGAATTTCATGGGAGTAAGTATTGCCTTAAAAAGTTATTAATTTTACTTATTGATTAATTAATTTTTTTTTAGCTCGTTAAAGCTGCTTACTCTTACTTCAACATGATTTATCAAGGCAGCCAACAGGGAATGTTCTGAAAATCAATTTTAAAAATGATCTCAAATTAAATGAGTAATAAATTAGTTATTTAGGGAAAAATTAACTTATGCATTATTTAGGAATTGTATAAATTGATTAGAGTAACTAAACACAAAATTGGCACCTAAATCAATAAAATTTAAATTTTAAGAACATTTAGCTACATAAATTTTATTTTATTTATTTTATTACTTTCAAGCTTATTAATAAATAATAACAATTTGAAACCTGAAGAATTTTTCAGCTCTTATCTGTCAGCTAATCATGATCAGCAAAATATCGTTGCGATGTAGTGATCGCTAGAGAGCAGAATTTTATGTGTTTACATATTTTTTTTAGCCACAATTTGATTTTTAATTAGTTTTGTGTATGAATGGAGCAATTTAAAACATGTTTATGTTACTTTTTGGGTTAAATGTTTTTTTTTACATATATTCTTGATTTTACATATTTTTATTACATACTTCACTATATTAAGGGATTTTTTTAAACGTATATTTAAATATTGTAATTCATGATTTGATTGAAAGTATGTGTGTTCATTTCAGCATACTTCTACAATACAATGATTTTTCTGGTTTTTCCCGTGAAAAAAAGGCCAGGGGCACAGTGGAAATCGAACCCATGACCGCAGTATTGGTGTAGTTAAATCAACTATTAAAAAACTATAAGCATAATGCTGGAGAACTCAGCAGTAAAATAAGGAAAAGGGTGGAACATGTGCTACTTATAAATCCTGGATTCAGAGAGTTAAAGTACATCTCTGAGATCTTAAAAGGGAATCAAATAGAAACTTAGGACTAGAAATTAATTTAAACCTACATAAAATTTTAAATTTACTCTGTTAAAATTGGTAGATAAATGCTCCTTTAGCTAATAAAATCTATTTTAAGACTTGATCGTAGCCGTTTCAATTTTGAAAATTTTAAACTTTTTGTTAAGTTACTTTAACTAGTTTGTTTTATTTTTACATAAAATTTTATGGACATTCAAGAATTTAAACCTATCATCAGCAGTTGTTAGGTGTCCTTTTCCATTTTTTGATTCTTGATTATTCTGAGTTAATTTTTTTCCAGGTTATTCCCTTCTGTTTAAGGGTTTTACATTATAATTTTTATTATGTAACAGATTTTGTTGGGTATTTGGAAATTTATACCTATCAACAAGTATTTTATTTAAAAAAATTTAAAACTTTTTGTTACTGAATGTAACAAAAAGTATTCCTCATGGAAAAATTTAAAAAAATTATAAATATAAAAAAGATGACTAAAAAAATCTGTTACATAATAAAAATTATAATATAAAAATCTTAAATACAAGGGAATAAACTGGAAAAAACTATTTCACCCAGTTTAATTAAGAATCAAAAAATGGAAAAGGATATTTTACAGCAGATGCTGGTAGGTGTAAATTCCCGAAACTCATAAAATTTAATGTAAAAATAAACAAAAAATTTATTTAAAAAACTACAAGAAAGTTTTAAAAAAATATAAATGAAAGGCACTTAAAGATAATCCATTACATAACAATTATAATTTAAAATATCATGTCATACTTTTAAATAATGAAATGAATTTTTAATTGTTTTGTTTATTTTAAATTGTTTGTTTAATCATACCAACTTTATTTCGTTGTTGTTTTTTAAATATTTTCTTGTTTTATATTGCATATTTTACTCAAAATAAGTACATATTTTCTCAAAAAAAATTGTATACACAAAAACTCACTCCTAGTGATCACTGTGAGCCCAGTTTTTGAGATATATTACGGTTTTTTACTTATCAGAGTAAGAGAGAATTTCTACATTCTGTTTTGAATTGAATAAATTTTTAAAAAATTAAACTTTCATAATAGTCTTCAGTTCATGCTGGTCTGCATTCTGCTAACTTGGATTAGTCATTTCCTCCTATGAGTTTCTTCTAATGTTAAGACAATAAAACTCCTCTATATTGCTCGCATTTGACAGGCCAAATTTACATAAATGTTGTTCAAGTTAATTTAACTTTAGAAACTACTAGAATCAAGGGTGCACTGGGTAATATGTGGAAAAATATATTTACACTGTACAAAAGTTTTATTAATAGTTTAATTAATGTATGCACAACTAAGACACATGCAAAACATGCAGGCTTTTCTTTGTGAGAACAAAACAATATTTTTCCGAAGCAAAGGCTCCGACGATTTCATTGTTTGTTTGTAAATTTATTAAATTCTGAACAGCGATTTCTTTTAGGCTCCTTCCTGTTTTCCTGTTCCTCAATTGGCCTATAACAGCAATCCCTTTTCTGTATAACATTACATGTCCAGTGACGTCTACTATTGATATATATGACATATCTAAATATTTTAAAAAAATGGTTATAAAAATTGCTCAAAGGTTATAATGTTTTTATAACTACCAGGTGGAGCGATGGTAAATTTCTTATTGACTTTTGATGCTTGTATGTATCCGAATGCTAGGAATGTCCCGATATGGTCACAATTCCATGTTTTATCATCTTTCGACGGAGTCTCTGGCTGCCAGACGCAACCATCGACATCATTTCTTATGCAAAAAGCCGGTGGTTTTTCTGGATAAACATGAGTCTTAAACAGCCACTGTTGACTTCCTAACACAACCTTACAAAAAATAAATAAATAAAACGTTTAAAATGTAACAAAACGCAATTTACTTTATGAGTAAGCTCGCAAGATTCGTAATCAAGTCGGTACAAAGCTCGTGATTCATCGAAGGCATCACATTCTTCAAGTTGGCCAGAATTCAACACAGCCGACCCTCCTGACTCCTGCAAAAATTATTTATTGGCTTTACTCCATAACAATATTTTTATTCTCAGCTACCATATTTTCAGAACAAAGATGTTCAAGTTTTTTATGAACATCGGCAACCATTTCTTCATCTATGATTTCTTTTCCCACTTTGTTAGTAACGACAAATTTTTCCCACATGGATCCTTCAGCTAGTTTTTGAACTGTCACTTCAAACCTGTAAATGCCATGTTTTAGAAACTTTTTTTAAAAAAGCCCTCACCAGAACTGATTTTTCGTTGTGACAAATAAAATTCTTACTTTTGGTTATTCAAGTTCCAAGTGGTTAAGTCAGGATCAATAGGCAGGTGGAACGTTCCACTGAAAATTATTTCTCCCCTTAATGTTATCTTGATTTCTTGTTCCGTCGGCATAACTTTAATGTCAGACTTAGCAGAGCCTTCTGGTACATCGAACCAAAACTTCACTTCTTCAAAAGTTTGCTGCCAGAAGAAATCTGGAGTCGGCTCAGGCAGTGGATCTTGAATGTATGTGGTTATTTTTTTTTTAAACAGTTTTACACAATTAACAAAAATAAATATTAACCTTCTTCGCAATCCATCTTTTCTATTGTATCCTTTTTATCACTCTGAAAATTTGAGCTGCTAATTAAATAAACGCCATTACAATCAGATTCTAGAGCAGCGTAATCAAGAACGCCTTTTCCTTTGATCACTTTGACTGATTTTTTTGACCAATAGCCTGTAATTTCTTCAAAACAAATATATTGAAATTTGATATTTAAAATTTACAGATTTGCAGTAATTTTAAATATCATTTAAATATAATTTTAAATATATAAATATATTTAGTTACAAAAATTTGTTAATAATTAAAAACAAAAAAATTATCTCAAGAGTTAAATTAAATTTATTTGCATATTTTCAATCATAGAAAACCATATTTTATTATAAATTTGAATTAATCTTGAAGTCAGATGCAATTACCGAACAGAAACAACTATAGGAAGTTGAAAATAAAATAAATTGTTTGTTTTTTTATTATGCATAAACAAGTTTACATTTTACAATAAAACCACCTCTTCAATGCAAATATAAATTTTTAAAGTTAATTTTTCATAAAGAAATTGATCATTAGCTCTAAAAAGCATCATAATAATAATTTCAATAATAAAACACAATAAAGGTAAATAAATATTATTTACCTTCAACTAAAGTAATCCAATTGAGAACAGTTTCAAACTTTGAGTTTTTATTGTCGTTCAAATCATCAATCTTGCTGGAATTTTTTTCTAATTGCGCATCAACATAAAGAAGCAGACAATGTACGACTCTGTTTGGTGATTCATCAATACACCTTGCATCTACAATTTTAAAGGGAACCGCTTCTCCGAGTACTTCCTCATTATGTAATACCTTGGTAAGACATTTTTATTATATTTAATTTTTTTATTGGGCAATTCAAATTTTAATGTAGGAAAAAACCACCTTCCAAGGGATTACATCTGCTCTAGAAGAGGTTTCGAGGACATAAAGACTGCCGGCCCCATCGCTGACAACAGCAATGTCGACCGATGCGAAGCAGAGAGATGTATTGAAATGGCCCGGTTTTCTGGCATGCTTAACTGGAATTTCCCATATGTCAACTATCTTTTCTAGCTTCTCCAGCTGAAAATAATCAGGAAATTAATTTATAAAAAGAAAACACATGTGTCAAGTGTTACCTCATTCATCCAACTCCGTCTTATCTTGCATTTAGAATCTATAAAATAAACTATATCTTTATTCCACAAGTCCCCGTACAAGTGGTTATGAAGGCTGAACTCTCTATGGTGGAGAAAAGAATACTGATCTTCATTGGGCCTCAAGACGTCGACCTCTGAAAGTAAGAAATGCCTGGATGGTGAATGTTCTTCAAATTTATTTTTCAATGAGACAAATCGGATATTTTAATTGTCAAACTGAATTCGTAAGAGAAGTTTATTTCACCCATAATGTTTGTTGTAGTGTTTACAAATTAAAAAACAAAATCACATGAAAATACTATGGAAAGTGTAGTAAAACTTTTTAGTTCATTTTTTTATTGGCTTTATCCAAAATATGGTTTTAAGGCAAGGCTTGGAAGAAGAATCATATGAAACATTTTATGTTGATAATGAGGTATACATATTTTAATCATTCTGTCATACTTTTTAATTCCTAATAGCCTTGCTTGTACGCAGTTTTAATGTGCATTTTTTCCAATCCTTGATACAGTGGAAAAGGGACTATAAATTGCCCTATTACTATAAGACAATCCATCTTAAAAATAAAATAATAAAAAAATTAAAAAAATCACAAGTAATTCATATAAAATGTACAGTTACGAAAATATGTTTGATGATAAATGGGTAGAAGAGCAATGTAACAATTTCTAGGCATTGGGATTTAGATGATTATAGCAGTTTTTCAGGCGTCAGTAGTGCAACATAAAACATATGTTTAATAATCACATTAAGTTGCTTTATAGCATTTAATGAGAATTAATAACAGGTCTTTGTCACCAGGCATTATTTTTAAAATTTTGTAAATACTTCACCTTTTTTGGGGAGAACAGTTTTGTCCCTTAGAGTGCTTTTTCTTTCTAAATTATGGAACACCACCCCTAACAACTAGTCTTATTTGTTTTAAACATAAACCCCCACATAATAACACAACCCTAACCATCCCTAATACAAAATGTAAAATATTTTGACTACCACAGAAACAATAATTTCATTTTATCTTAACTAACTTTTGTGATATAAGGTTTTTAATGCAGTCTGCAGACATATAACACTCTTCAATTAAAGTTAATTGTCCTAAATCGTCCGGCATTATTGGGTATCTTTTACCCTCCCTCACAACACATTCATAGGTATTTTATGTGGTTTAAGTAGAAAAAAAATCTAATACAGTAGTTAGGGACTTGAAGATAAAGTCAGTGCGAGCTTATATCCCAACCTGTTTATAGAGCTTCTTTAGAGTGAAAAATGTTACAAAACAATTTGTTCCCAAGATCCTGTCCAGATTCTCAACCAACAAATGCTGGATTTTCCTTCTTGAACAAACCCCTTACCTTCTCCAACCATCAATCTGGGGCGTCTTACGTACTCAATAATTATTTTTTCGTAATGAACCTTTCTCCAATGGTTTTCTCTGTTTTCATTTCCTTCCTTAATTCTTCATTTCTTATTTTGCCTGCCCTTGTCGTTTTAATGCACCTTCTCCATTAATCCATCTCAACACCCCCTCAAAAATATTTTGCTAGACCTAGTCCAAGTTTCTGCTCCATAAGTGAAGACATCTTCTATAATTAAGTAGAAATTAGCTTTTAGTTTTCTTTTAAAAAACTATAATACCAAAGCACTGAATTCTGCCTTGCTTCCACTGCACACTTCCAGCCCATAGCCTATCATGCATAACAAGCCTAGAATCCAAATCCATTAAAACTTTTCACCACCTTGTAGACTTAGCCATTAATAACATTAGGAACAAGTCTTTTAGGTCCTCTTGTTGTTTGTTAGCATCAGAAATACAAGATTGACTAAAGTTTTTGCAGGTAGTCTTTTATGTCTAGCTTAAACTTCTAGAGAATAAATAAGTCATAGGCCTTTTTCAATTAAAGTTAGCATCAGAAAGATTTCATTCTATGCCATCTGACATGTAGACATTCTATGCCTAGCCTAAACTTCTTACCCAGTAACAGGTCTTCTTAGACTAGGTTGTAAATTGGCATCATAAAGACTCCATCTTACAGTTTGCAGACTGTTATTATTTCTGTCAGGTTGTCCATAGTTTCAGGAGAAAAAAAAACCCTAGATTAAGTTGATGTTATACCAAAGGAAAATTAATTAAGCTATATGTCTTCTTTTACATTAGACTATTGGCATATCTTCTCATATAAATGCCACGATCATAAAGACTCGGTAGTGCAGTTCACAGGCAGATTAATATTTCTGACATGTTATACTCAGTCTATAGGATAGCGATAGCCAGGTAGTTAGGGCATCCATATTTTCCATGCTAGCAATCCTGGGTTTGGATCCCAGAACAACACATGGATTTTTAACTGTGTATAATATGGATAAAGTACTTACAAGTGCTTTAAACCTTTATCTGCGACATCAAATGTAGTTAGTTCTCATATTCTCAACCAGGAACAGGTCTTTTAGGTCTTCTTCAATGTAAATTAACATCAGAAATACTAGGTTGACTAATGTTTCTGACATTTTACAGTCATGCAGCTAGGATTATCTTCTGGGCCAGTGGCAGGTCTTCTTAGTTGTTAGTTTGCATCAGAAAGTCTCTGTCTTACAGTGTGCAGTGTAATACTGTTTCTGCCTTGAGTTCATAGCTTCACAAATATCTAAGACTAATTGGATTTTTTTTCAATCTTGCTCAACTCACTTGATGACGTATCAAAAGAAAATTGATAATGCTGTTCTATGCCTTCTTTTACACCAGACCACTGTCAGATTTTTTCAAATATATTCCAGTACCATAAATTGGTCATGCACTACTCAGACTGAATGTTACAATTATCCTATACCTTATGTGTTATAGGTCATACCTTCAAGACCTATAACATATCTTCTCAGTTGTAAGCTAGTAGAAAGAATTCATACTCTGTTCATGTTGGTAGTAACTTACATGTAGTCATTCTAGTTCTTCCTTATTTAAAATTTTCTAACAGGAACAGGTCTTGTAGGTTTTCTTAGAATGACTGGGTTGACTAATGTTTCTGACATTTTATAGTCATTCTACAGCTTGGATTATCTTCTGAACCAGCGAGATTAAAGTCTTCTCAGATGTATGTTAGCACAAGAAACACTCTGTTTTACAGTGTGCAGGCTGATTATATTTTTGCCCTGCTGTCATTCTCTCAAGGTGGCTCCAGACATGTGTTTGTATAACAACAAACAGCGAATACATATTTTATTTTATTTTGCCGAGCGCTGTGCAAGTCCTCAACTTACTACATATCATGATGGACAACAGTGAAACTGTCATTGTTGCAGTTGCGGTTACTGTTTTGTGTAGCGGCTACTAACTCAGTCACAGAGTACTGTTGCCTGATCCATTTCCACGCATCATAAACCTATTTTTGTGATTCAGAAGAGAAGCGTTCCAAATTATTGGTTCAGCTTGGTACAGATGGAGGATTGCAAGACCATTATGTTGGGCCAATCCATTCCTAACCAACAGAAACAATGCTGTGTTGTTATTTCATTCATCTATTGATTGATGATTACAGTTGATATGTGCAAAGTACAGTTGATTCCCATCCACATTCCATCTGGATGCTTTAAATTTGGCTATGTCACGAATATTTGTGCACTTTGAAGCGGCAAGAAAACCGACAATTAGCCGACCAATAGCACCAAATACTGTTACTCGGCGAATCCTGCCACCTTTAGCTTAACTGGTATGCAGTGAATCTACGACTATTCATAAAACTATCATCCCTCAGAAAACCATGACTGTGGCCTTGAGTACGCTCTGTTTTCTTCATAATACTAAAAAGCTAAAAATAGCGTACAGTTCTTAAAACAGACTGTTAAGTACACAAATATTTGTATATTCTTTCATGTTTGTTTACGATTCTATCTGAAATTGAAGCGTTTAAAAATATGATGGTGAAAGAGTGTTGTCTAAAATACCGATGAAACGGTTAAGGCTCGTTCAAATTTGTCACTTTGGAAGATCATCTTGGATGAATGATCTAAACTGACAAATGTAAAACTGCCATTCATCTTCATATCCTTCAGTGTACATCAAAGGTGAACTATGAAAGAAGTTGACCCCCTACTAACTTTTGATGAAAGAGCCGTTCCTCCAACCGACAAAATGTAAACAAATGTTCCACCTCGCATTCACTGTTCTGTACATTCACCTTTTCGCCAGTCTAACCCAGACTTTCCTTGAAACCCACGGTTACACCCACCAACGTCTTTGAGCATGACCGCTTTCTAAAAGATTTGTGTTCGGTTCATGTAGTCAGCGTGAAATCAAGTCAATGCCTTTACGCACAACTCTTGAGTTCCTCCTCTAATGAGACATACCCTGGCACTTTGTACACGAAACGAGGAACTCTGAGCAGTGAAAACACATAACTGAAAATATGTAATCAAGGTTGATTCACATTGGAGTAATGTGAACACACAATGTAAATATCGCATTAGAAAGTGAAAATATTGAGGGTGACCACTTTTCGACCATTTAGCGTACTTGAGGTAGAAAATTGTAATGAAAACCGGATAAAACGAGTTTAACAAGTACAAGTTTAAGTCTAAATTCATGGTGGATGCGTTCCAGTGGTTTATGTGAAAATTTACTGAACAAGTACTCAGGTCCAACTGTTCATGTTTGCTCCAAAATGGATGTATATGCTTGACCATTTATTTTTATTTTTACTAATAGAATTTAATAAGTTTTGGAGTAAAACTATTGAAGTCGGTTTGTTAGTTGATTTATTACTAAGCGAGGATTATTTTGATAAGTAAATAAATACCATTTTCGAATTCCTCTTTATAGACAGGAATGGGTGACAGGGAGAGTTTGTATCCGTCGAAATCCTTGTCCAAAAGACTCCTGTTTAAACGCAATTCGTTGGCGGTTGGCATGTTGCTTTTGAAAAACCACAAATGTTGGTTATAAGTTTATTCTTTATCATATAAGCCAGGGAGGTTACAAGTTATAAGTAAAAACAAAAAGCTTCTCTAATAATTAATCCATTGAGTTCCTCTAGTTCTTAGAAAGTGCCTTTTTTCCCCATTATTTTAAAAAGAGTGGAAAGGTGTAATTGATTTTTCTACCAAGTTGTTGTCGCTTGACGACCGGGGAGAGTCGGTAAACAAACCGGCCGTCGAGATTTTTCCCCTGGAAAATTGTGTGAAATGTTCAAAAACACTTTTCAGAGTGGGTTCCTCTCGATACTGTACAGCATCGGGAGCAAGCCGTTGCAGATATGGGACAAAAAGGTGAGGAACGGCCACATAAAAAGGATCACGGACAACGACATACAGTCCCTCGTACTGGAGATAGTCGGCACCAACGTGAGCACCGCCTTCCTCACGTGCCCAGCAGACCCGAGGAAGACTTTGGGAATTAAGCTCCCGTTCCTAGTCATGATCATCAAGAACCTAAAAAAATACTTCACATTCGAAGTCCAGGTATGCGTTCAAAAGAACAACATAACGGGTGAAAGTATACAATTTTTAAATTTTCACCCTAAGAAAGTAGTTAAGTTATATGTATATTGCATAAACTGCTCAAAAATGAATAGGGATATTGCCAATTTGTAGTACTTCCCTTGTATTTTTATTATAAACTGCATTAAAATTTATTAGAATTTATTTTTACTGAAGGAAAATAGGATTTTGAAAAATAACAAAATAAAAGATTTTAATTCCATAATTTTGTTTATTGGACACAATAATTTTTTTTAAACAATTTTTTTTTTTATTGGCCTTATGATCTTGCATATTAGCCATAGTACGAATTCTTGTGTGTTCAAATTGGGGGTTATCGGGAAAAAAAGGGCCAGAGGCGACGGTGGGAATCGAACCCCGAGAGTCTCTCATGCTAACCACTCGGCTACCGCAGTCCCCTTAAACAATTAATACCGTGTATAATATCCTCTGGGCACCACCTGTTTAATCAGGTTGTCACTAATTTCATAAGGAATTTCACTGTATGTTGCAACGCTGCAGTCAGTTGTTGCAGGTCAACTGGCTGCAGATGGTGATCGAAAAGCCTTCTCTGCAACACATCCCACATGCGCTCAATGGGATTGAGGTCTGGAGACAATTGGTAAGGAGCAGATGGGAAATTCCAAGGTTTTCTAAGCATTGATGAACAATTCTGCCTCTATGAGGTCTTGTCATCCAGAAATTGAAAATCCCTGCCAGTGAGATCTCTGGTTTGAGGGATGCACTACTCAATAATTTCTTGAACATAATGAACTGCAATGATGTTGCCTTCAACAATATGGAGTCCAGTTCCTCCACTGTAAATCCCAGCCCAGGCCATTACACAGCCTCCTCCAAACTGCACTGAAGGGACCACCAAATGGGGCTTGTACACACCTCGGTTCTCCGTACTATTCAGCACCTGTTATCGCTATACAGACTCATCAGTAAGCATAACAGCATTCCAATCGTGTATTCTCTTCTAGATGCTGCTGCACCATATTCTCCTGAGCTGCTGGTGACGTGATTGTCTTGATAAAAGCATTGCCAAAACACCTTGTACTTTATATTGGATCTAGCTGGAACTATAGAAAGGGTTCCGTATTGCAGCAATGACAGTATTTCTGTCCTCTCTTAGCATCGTAATGCGCTGAGATCCACTACCAGGCCTCCTATTGGCACTTCCAGTCTCTCGGAATCAGGCTAAACCCTGGGAGATGCCAACTGCCTCTGCGATAGCCACTTGCCGGTGAACTCAATCAATTCTCACAATAATATTGTGAACTTCTCAAGATGTCCTTCCATGGTCCAAGAGAATACAACTGGATTAAAATGGAAAAAAGACGAGAATGTTTGTTTACAAAATGAATAATCTTCGTGTTACTATTCTTAAGTAAATTCACTATTAAAAATGAGGATTACCCAATTTTTTGTTTTTGGTTTGTATTTTCTATCTTATTCAATCCAACTAACAAGAATATATCGGTTAATTTAATTGAAACTAATAGAATAAGAATAAATTACAAATATTCCTAATTTATTTTTGAGCAGTTTAATATGAATTTTAGCACTTTAGTAAAAAATTCATAAAAAGCATAAAAATTTAGTAAAATGTCAGTTTTCTTTTCAAATGTCATTTAGTAGAATTAAAGAAAAATTTTCGACTATGTATTGTACAGAAATTGCAACCGTACCTTTATAGTAAAGATGAACAAAAACTTTCATCACAAATTGGTTTATTAGAGTTGTAAAAACAATTATTAAAAATCTGTATCAAAGTATTTAAATGTACTTGCAATTTGTATGATAATTGTCACTTATCATGTAAAAGCAGTTGATTCATTTTTCTTCACATATTTATCTTCAATTATTGTTTCCTGGGACCTAGTTGATGGTAACATTTGTTTTCTGTTTTTTGGATCCTCTGATGATGATTGTAGTTGAGTGTATTGTTGCTTGACTGTTAGACATGAAATTTATTATTTTATGTTATTTTTTTATTAAATTTTGTCTTATTTCAGGTTTTAGATGATAAAAATGTAAGGAGGCGATTCAGAGCGAGTAATTATCAATCGACGACGAGAGTGAAGCCGTTTATTTGCACGATGCCGATGAGGCTGGACGACGGTTGGAACCAGATCCAGTTCAATCTTGCCGACTTCACAAGACGAGCCTACGGTACAAATTATGTCGAGACACTCAGAGTACAAATTCACGCAAACTGTCGGATAAGACGGGTCTATTTCTCGGACAGGCTTTACGCCGAGGACGAACTACCAGCTGAATTTAAACTCTTCCTGCCTATACAGAACAAAACGAAGTAAAGTTTTGACCTTTTGACATACCAAGCACAAAAATGCCTTAAAGACTTTGCCTGTTTTGTGATATTTTTACCAAACTGTATTTTTTTCTCTCTCTCTCTTTCTCTGATTTTAATTTGAAATTTTTTTAATAAATGATTACAAAAACACTGATTGTATTATTTATTTTCATTAACATTTAAACCATATAATATTCTGAAAAAAAATTAACAATAACAATTGTCTAAGTGGTAATGTCAACATCGATCCTGAAGCTATTGAAGTGTTTGTAATTGTTTAATCAATTCTATATGAAAATCTTGGAAATTTTTTGTTACAAAATATTTATATTTGCACTAAATTTAAAATTTACAAACACTTTTGAGGTATTCACATCAAGTAATTAATTTTACTGTTTTGGTCTTGGTACAAATGCACAGTACAAGTTTTTTTTTTTAAATAGAAAAATTGTATGTGTGAGGTAGGTCGTTTTCTAGAGTGAAACATAGTTTACGTATACAAATATACATCTAATAGGCAATTTGTGGGGCGACGATTAAGGCACTGACATGACGCTCGTCACTGTAAGGTCCCAGGTTCAAATCCACCGGCCCTGCATTTGAAGTTTTGAACCCGACATACTAATAAATAGGATTTTTCCAAAACACCGGCACCCTGGGGGTTGATATGAAATAACTATTGTAGTTTGGTCATTTGTAAGAAGCCTCAATGGTATATATACAAATATTTTTTAATAAATATTAACCGTTAATTTTATTCCATGTAATGAGGTATTTTTATTAGTTCAATCATTATATTTTATTTGGTGAGTGATCAGCCTTCTCAGTTTAAATATATTTTTTTCTTTCCAAAAGGTAGATCGGGGATGAGGCCAGGAAGACAGAAACATTTATTTTCTTGTCGAGCTTTCGGCAGAATATATCGCCTTCATCAGGGCTTCGAAAAAAATCGTTATACTAATGAACAGGTACATGTGTGGATAACGGATGTAGCCGAAAGCTCGACAAGAAAATAAATGTTGTTTCTGTCTTCCTGGCCTCATCCCTGATCTACCTTTTGGAAAGAAAAAATATATTTCTTCAATCTGAACCAACATTTTTTGCTTAAGAGTTCCTTTAACCATTTTGGCAAGAGAAATAAATTGATGCTAAAAATATTTCACCACCTAGTCTTTTCTTTGAGAATTTCTTTTCCGTTCATACCAATAGACAGTACCAACAACCCCCTTTGTCCTATTCAATCAATATAGCAGCATAATCAATATATAACAGTCTATGAATTCAAATTATTTTAATAAATAATTATTAAGGAAAAAGTAAAATACCTTTTATACGCAAATTAATCTGAAATCTCCAAATTAAATCAAAATTTCAAGGGTAAGGTCAAGTGTAATTGAACCCCATATTGAACCTTCAATCCACAAAGAAACCGTAAATATCTTGTTAACGAGGCCTTCTGCTGAAATTTAAAACAAGTTAAACCTTATTATTTTAAAAATACTTTATAATTTTTTACTGTAACAAATATGATATATTAATAAATTAAATATAGTTTCAAAATTCACATACCATACTTTTTTTTTAAATAAAAAGCTCAAATTGTCTGATAATTAATTTATAAAGTAATTCCTGTCTTACAGGAGAACTTAACATCCAACTACATGTTGGGCATTGCGAACAAAGCTGTCATCAAACCACTTTATAATATATTTTTCATACTATAATCAATTAAAAAGCCATGGGCTCTGCCAGGATTCAAACTCAGAACCGCACATGTGGCAAATACGAGTCAGATACCACGTTTCCCAACTGATTTATATAAGCTAAACTCTATACACATCCAGGCCCCATTTCCTTTTAACCATGGTTTTAATCACTTTTAGTGCCAAAGAGTTGCCTTGGTTAGTTCCTGATGTTGAGAGCTGCCTCATCCATCTTTTGTTGGATCCAGATAACCACCACCATTTTGCCAAGTCGCTCCAGTTCATATCTCTCTAACAAGAGACGGTCCACCATGGACAGCAGTAACTGGGCTCAGGGTGTCAGTGCAGACAAGATTGGCCACTAGGTTGGTACACTAAAGTTGAATTCTCTATATTTGCAGGCTGTCCAATTAAAATCTAAGTACATGGGTTAAAGAACATAGGCATTCGGTATAACTGTATTTTTGTTGATATCATCATAATTTATTATACATTTAATAGGAAAGAGTAAAAAATGACATAAATAGCGTAAGAAATTATTTAATTTGAACAAAAGTAAGCCACTTCTCAAAAGAAAGCCTCCAATAATAATAATAGTGATAATAATAGTGAAAATGTACAATTTTTTAAGTATTTATGCTAATAAAATAATAAATGAATTCAATTAAACATTGAAATTAACGAATTAACCATTCTTTTAACTTTTTACTTGTTTTGCACATTATTTATTATTTCTTGATAGGTATTCTTATAATATTGCAATAGAAATTTCTGAGATTTGGTAACGATATAGGAAAATGAGTATTATTTTTTCTTCTTCTTACTCAATAAAAATGATGTAGTGAATATGATTTACAATTTATGAAGAAAAAAAAGAACGTTTTAAAAAATAAAATATAATACAACTGAAAAACTTTTTTTTTTACAATTTTTTTTTCTCTTTTAAACAGACAGTACCTATAGATCTATGTTTTAACTATTCTTTTTAATTCTATTTAAGCCTTAACTAGAAAACACATCACTCAAATACTGTCTCAATGCACCTAGAACACAATACTTCTACCTAAGTATTAATTAACACTGAAATCATCTTTCATATTATTATTATAAAAGCAAAACAAATGAAGTGATAACGGGAATTAAAAAAACAAATAAAATAAAACATTAACCAGTACATTTAAAAAAAGGATATTATTAAAATTATAAAAAAAATCAAATTTGTTATGTGTACTGATCAACAAGTTTTAAGAATAAGTAAAAATGTATAATTCAACCAAAATTGTCAACTTTATCTCTTCAGATTTCTAACTGGACTATTTTACTTTAAAAAACAGAAAAATAACGAAAGAAAAATTTACACTGATCACAACAGCAATATTTTTATTAGTATTTTAAAACAATGTATTTCACCTAAATGCCTATTTAACCGGCGATGTCTATGTAAGCTCACAATTATATAAATAGTTATTCTTTATATAAAAAAAAAGAACGATACAGGTGTGGGTTTTGAAAACATCAAAAAAGAAAACATTTCCTCTCGGGTAATCTATTAGCTACAACAAAGCCAAGTGAGAGAAAACCCCTATAAACAATTGTCCAATAAACTCCTTTGGCTTTTAAGTACTATCAGGCTACCGACTAAAAACTTCAAATATTTTTTTCTTCATCATCAATTATTCAAGAATAAAAATAAATAAAGAATAAAACTCTGTATAGGGAATTTTCCCACTCACTCATAAGCATCACTCGACTTAATTCCACACCATTTGCTCCTTTTATGATAATAAAAAAATAAAAGTAAAATAAAAATGTGAAATGTATTCTTTTTGACACAAAACTTACATACACATCAACAGCTAGAGAAATATTCATAGAAAGAGTAATACTAGTGTTAACAAATACGCCTAATTCAAGCTAATATATATTATTTTTTAATTGATTTTTCTTTTTTAAACTACAGACATCTATAAGTGAGACTAATGAGGCCAAGGAGATCGCTATGTTGTAAGTGCATTCAAAGACCTTAATACTTTTTTCTGACATGAAGTCAAAATAGGAGGCCCACTTATAACAAAATGTGGTTAATTACAACATTTATCCAAATTATACAATATAACAAGAACAACCAGTACGAATTCGCTAAAAGTGGACCTTGAGATTTTGTTAAATATAATTTTTGTTTTATCAGTCCCCATTGCTTATATTAAATTTTACTATTAACAGAAAAAAAATTATTTTTCAGGTAAAGGATAAAATTCACAGTGCTATTACCATTTTACAACAATTTCTATGATAATAGTTTTAATCTGAAAAGACATTGATATACTATATAAAATGTAAAACAATTATCTATTGTTTCATATTCAAGATATATGTTTTTATTGTTTAATTAATAGAAAAAACTACTTTCCATTAATGTATGGTGTATCGTCTTTGACCATAGCATTTCCTAAATTGATGTACAAACTGAAACAAACAAAAATCATTGTCATTCATCGAGAACAATTTCAAAATTGGCATTCTGAATAGTACAAATTCAATTCAAAGTCAAGTAATTTAATTCCACTCTCATACAGTAGGGCTTAATGTCCAACTATCTGTTGGATGTCGTGGACGAGGGGTCAAACCATTCTACAATACTTTTGACATTATTCACAAATGAAATCCAAGGCGCCAGGACTAGCTTGGCAAATATATTCAGACACCCTAACCATTCGACAACCGCAATCCTCGATAATTCAATTAAAGTAAAAGTAAAATTTTAAACTTTAGTAAATTCCAACGATAATCAATTGTTTAACAAACTTTTTATACTGTACCCTTTGACTACAATTTGCAATTTACAGATAATTCAATTAATTACAGATTATTTGTGTATCATTCTATCAGGGAAAATATCAGACATGACAATTGAAAAAAATTTGTAAATATAATGAAAAAAATAAAACAGATGAATATAAGAATACAGTAGACTCTCGATCAACCGAGGTGGTCGGGACCAGACCTACCTCGGATAATTAAAAATCTCAAATAATCTGGGGGAAAAACGCATTATGCACAAAAATCTGTTTATTTTGGAGATATTGTTAAAAAAATGTTTTTTTTTTTTTTTTAATAATTATCCAACGATGTCTATTTAGCATTCTTCACGCGCAATTCCCGTCATTTTTTAATTGCCATGACATCTGTGAGAGTAGCAGTCAGTTGTTGTTTGATGAATTTATGTTATTGCCTATTGTCGCTATTTTAAGGATTATTTAATATACAGTAGCTCTAGATCCAATCAGGTGAGAGATTTGAGTGGCAAAGTGTCATAAAATAGATCTGGCAACACATTTGGGAAAACTATTACCTCCCAAAAATGTACAAGGTCGCTGAATACCCAACAGAGAATCTAAGATATCCAGTACTGGATATCGTAACCATGCCATTAGAGCTTATAAAAAAAAATAGTACTTATTCCTGTGACTGGGATTTCGATGGCTTTATTAGTTTAGTTTACATACATATTTTACAATATACACGCACTTTTAATTTTTTTTTTTTTTTTTTAAATCTCGGAATACTAGGTGTTATCCGAGGTTTTTAGCATTAGTTAATCCAAAAACATCGATTGAAAATTTTAACTCAGTTAACCCGAAAGTGCATAACTGGATCCCGGTTAATCGAGAGTCTACTGTATTCTTATATTCATCTGTTTTATTTTTTTCATTATATTTACAAATTTTTTTCAATTGTCATGTCTGATATTTTCCCTGATAGAATGATACACAAATAATGGCTACGGAAGAAGGCAAAATGCTAAAATTTGTCTGATATACCAACCCAACGAAGATAAACAGGTCTCAATTATAAATTACAGACTTTGATCATTTTGTTTTAACTTAAAAATAAAATAAAAAAATAAAAGTAAGCAGCTTTTTTTNGTCAGAAAAAGTCCAGAGGCGACGGTGGGGATCGAACCCACGACCGCGGGATCTAATAGCCGAGAGTCTGACGCCTTAACCACTCGGCTACCGCGGCCCCCATAAGCAGCACTACAATAAGAATCGCAAACATTTAAATATGCAGTCAGAGTCAAAGGCTAAGTGTGCACAATTTTTCAATGCATTTTTAAATCAACAGAAAATACTGTACAAAGACGAAGTCGAAGATACATCAATTTTAAAAACATCGCAAGAGTGAATTTTTTGGCAGCACAACCATCACCTGCAAATCGCTTTCCCGATAAAACAAGCAAGTTTCAGTTTGAATGAGCACTCGAGTGATTTTTAGTTGCTTCTAAGCTCACATTTTACAACAATAGCTTATGCCAAACATTTTAAAAATAATATTAATGAACGCATTTCGTACAAATTGAAGATTTTCGATGGTATTTATATCTTATCAGAAAATTATACCAATTTTATTAAAATTAACATTCCCGTTCAGTAAAACATGCAATATTCAATATTTTTATAATACTCACTTCTCTGGTTGTTTTCCCTGTGGTAAAGTTACTGTTTGTTGTTCTTTCTTAGCGGGAGATATTGAATCAAGGCCCATTTCCGATAGTGACCTCAAAGCATTCAAAGCTGCTTGATCATGAGAAAGTTCTGTCGTCGACCCACTTCCATGGCACACTTGCGGTGGATCCGTATCCAGTGAGACAAGGCTCAAGTATTCACTATGATTTCCCTGTTGGAGAATATACGATGAAATTCAATGTAAAAATGGATGCCTAAACGGCTTTAATCTAACCTTGGGAAAGTCTGAGAACTGGACTTGAAAATTTAAAACTTGCGCTAAATACCGAAGTTGCTCAGTAGGCCTGACAGCGGAGCCTGCTTTCGCTCTTTTATGGCCTGCCAGGGCATCAGCTGTTGGCGAGTTTCCATTGCTTAAATACTCCTTTGCAATCATAGCTGTCGTTTTGATATTTACTGTAAACAAATACAATTTTATAAATTAATTTATCAAATATCATAATTGGTTAATTAAAATTATACAAGTGACGGAGGTATTTGTTTATGTGTAAGCCATTTTATTTATTCATTTTTTTTAAACATTTTTCTAAAAATGCACACAAATTATATGACAAATAAGTGACACCAATCATTTTTTAATTCTTATGGGAAGAAGGTTGTGAGGAAAAATTACAGACAGAATAAAGGGGAAAATGTAAATAATAGTCGGTTGAGAGAGCAATTGTTGTCTCGTTGGAATAAAGTCACGATAGATCAAATGGTAGAGCACCAGGGTATAAAGCCAGGAGTTCGAGTTCTGCTCGTCCACTAATTTTACTTCAAATAATAAAATCTGATGACTAATAAAAATTTAATCATTAACCTTATGCATATACAAGTATTGTGTATGGTGTTCATATGTTTTTTTTTTCAATTTTTCAGAAAAAAAGCCAAACAATCAAATCAAAATTTGTTTTTACATGTTTAATACGAAAAGTAATTGCCTTCATTTTGTATAACATACTGTCAATGCTCTAGAAGCAGAAATGTCCACTTTTTGTAGAAGTCTGATGACTTAGATGAGAAGAAATCTGTATGATTTTCAGAGTGTTTTCGTTCAATAATTTCCTATCGTTTAAATAGTGGTTTAAGGAGGAAGAAGTAAAAATCGGAAGGGGCTAGGTCTGGAGAATACAGAGGAAACTGTTGCCAGCCTAGCTATACTCTAGTGAGTGCAGCTGTGAGAGCTGCCCTCTCTTCACATGGCTAGACTTTTTCCTTCAACGCTGGTCCAAGAAGCTCTAGGGATACCTCCGCCAAAAGGATTTGGTTGCGTGAAAACCAGAACCACTGACACACGTACAATTACTCCGTTATCACTGCAAATTCCATATGCATCAACAGGCTTCGAGATCGAACTCATATAGCAATCAAAGCCTTAAATTAATTTTATCTGCTACCATGTAGTTTATTCTAGACTGACTGTTATGGGGGTTAGAGATGGTTAGGGATTCAGGAATTGAGAATTGGGATCGACTACCCCTTTCTCACAATCTCTTCCAACAGGGCTTTTCTCTCCTAGCGATAATTATGCTAGCAGGTGAAAAGGATCACCTTTATAAAGGTGAAAGTTGAAAAAAAAAAATTGTTAAAAATATTATATCAAAGAAAACTGATTGAAACCTCAGTTATTTTTATATAATATCACACAGTTTACTAACCTTTATTTGGAGTATGTGGATTGCCATTTGCAGCTTTGTTGTCATTCATTAAAAGTAGTCCAGGAACAAGTTGCCGGCCAACGCTCCCACCTTGCGGCGTTGTTTTTTCATCGCTAAACCTAACTTGCTGTAACAAAAAATAAATAAATAAATAAAAATCTTAACAATAATTACAATTAAATATCATCTTACAATCTTTCTAATTCAGTTATATTTACATATTAATAATTACTAATGAAATAAATATACTGATATGTAAACAACATATAAAAGTGATAAAAATGAAAACTATTGAACAGATTTCGATGAAACTTTCACACTTATTTTTTATTAGTGCCGGGTGTGTTTAGAGAATATAAAATGGGCATCAGGATGTACAAAAAAGAGAGATTTCAGGAATTTGTGGCGTCCATTTTCACCACAGCTGTCAGTTGTCCAGTCCGGCCTTTGGTTCAACAACAATTTCACACAACATCAATATGAAACCCTAAGAATAACACCACACTTTATGCACTGAAGATGACCCAAACAAAAGTTGAAACATCAGCAAAAAAATGAAAAAGGTTTTCTTCTAAACTACCTCATTCTCGACCCCTACTCACGACTTCAACAAATTATGAAACAACAGGTCACTAAGAAATACATTTTTCGAAAAATGCTGGTATGGTATATTTTCCAACAAATTATTATAAATTAAAAAAAATTATAAATTATAAAGTAAAATACTATTAAACATGGTTTTACTGAACTCGGTCAGTTTAAATTAAATCTGATACATAGGGTAGTTGTTTGCCAATTGGATTTTATTAACATTCTGACTTTTATAAAACGTAAGGTTGCAAGTTCAGTTCTTTCATGTTCAGTTTTTCAATGTTTTGTAATTAATTGATATGATTTTCCTATATTATGAATTATGTTTCATTTTATATTCTGTCTTTTTGACACTCTGGTTGTAGAAATGCTGTTGGAATTTAATTTTGTTGTTGTTTAAAATACCACGAAAACGACAAAATATCGGTTGTTACAGAAATATTGCCAATGGAATTAAAGATAAAAGACAAAATGAAATGGAAGAAGGTTAAACAGCACAATAAAATGAACAAAATATATTTCAAATTTCACACTCATGAGCTACTTAATCATCACATCATTCTCACAGAATTAAGATGTTGCCCTACTGTGATCGGAATGAGCAACATTACCATAGTCGATTTGCATCCAAATGATAAATAAATACCTCATACAAATCAATAGATCGTATAGTGAGAGTGTGAATGGTTGTTTTTAAGAACTGATTGCATTGTGGGATGAAATTACCTATAACCTGTTTGCACAGCTCCCAGTTTTCTAAAAATATTCTGGTAGTTTCTTACTTTTCAATATTAATACAGATGATTTTGCTGTTTTATGAAGTGAAGGTTTTGTAAGTGTACCTAATAATATTTAATGTTACATTCTGACTTTTTGACTCTCTGTTGTAGAAATACAATTTGATATTTCAAATACCACCAAAACAACACTGTTCCTAGAATAATATTAATATTTTTCTAAAATTTAAAGACAAGGATGTGCTAATAAACATATACCAGTGATTATTTAGAGATCGTGATTTGCGGTCTGGTGTGATGTAGGTTTAAAAAAAACATTTTCTTTATCGTGCCAATGTTTCGATCATTATTGAGATCATCTTCACTAATTGAGGTTTTTCACATCCTACATGTATTTGTATAATTTAAACAATGTTTATAAATCCCAGGCCCTGAAGATGACCTCAATAAATATTGAAACGTTGGCACGATAAAGAAAATGTTTTTCTAAAACTGTCATACCAGACCGCAAATCACGATCTCTAAATAATCATTGACTAGCAGTCACTAAACACCACACACTTTTTTATTATTATTATTACACCACACACTTTTTTATTATTATTATTAATCTTTTCACCTTACCAATCCATGAACCACGGTTTTTTCAAATGCTTCATCAATTTCTTAATGTTTGAAAAAGTAGTTAAAAAAAAGTAATTACACCACTAAAAAGGATATTATGTAGAGTATGTTTTCTAAAATTTGTTGGTCTCTAAGTTAGGAAATAGTAGTTTAGAATCACCACAGTAAGTTTTTCAACTTTGGAAAAAAATTAAGTTCTCGCTAGTAAAACACTTATTTCACGAATATTATTTGCAAGTTTAGTATTGATCACATTGGAAATTTAACGTAGTTTTCAATGGTATCAATGGATTTCTCCAAACTTTTTAGTTTTCGAGTTATCATTGTTTATTTGAAGAAAGGTCGTGAAATCTTAAAAAATAGAAAAAGTGGAATAACTCCGAAACTGCTGAAATTTAAAAAAAATTTTTTTTTTCTAAGTTGAAATTCAACTTACTATGGTGATTCTAAACTACTATTTCAAAACTTAGAGACCAACAAATTTCAGAAAACGTACTCCACATAATATCCTTTTTAGTGGTGCAATTGCTTCTTTAATTACTTGTTTCAAACATGAAGAAATTGATGAAGGAAAGGAAAAAACCATGGTTAAAGGATTGGTAAGGTAAATCAATAACTGCTTAATTATAATATGTAAACAATTGGTAAAAAGATTAATAATAAAAAATAAATAACTTAAGAGTTGAGAGTTTTAATTAAAGAATTTTGAAGTTATCATTGTTTATTTGAAGCAAGATCGTGAAATAACTCTGAAACTGTTGGGATTAGGACCATAGTTAATTAACACATTTTGGTTCATTTGTGAATGTAGAATCTACTGGCAAAGTTTGTAACATGAGTAGCCGAACACCCTGTATATATGCTCTTATCTAGCAATAGCAATATGTTTACACAAAGTAATGTGTTAAATAACACTTTTTATTATCCGGCTGGGCAACGCCAGGTTATAATGCTAATTATGATATAAAAAATAAAAATCCATTAATTGCTTATCAACTATCAATATTATTAATCAATATTTTTTGAATATAAACCAAATTACCTTGTTATGTTGTGGAAGCGGTTGTCCAGTCCTTGTTAATGTTGAACTTGAATATCCTAATTGTTGTAGTAGACCTTCGGCAGCATTTCTCTTAGCCATTTTTTTATTAGGGCCAGAGCCAATAAAGGAATGCTCACCCATTTTTACCTAAGAGAATATTTCTTCTTAAGTCGAAAGTAATATATTAAAAGATAAAATTTAAAACACAATATTACCTCCATAACAAATTCTCTCCTCCTTGGTATACCTCGTTCTTCCATTAGAGTATAAACAGGTTCTTTTTCCCTCTTTGCTTGTTGGATCTGCATTAGCCTAGAGATTGGATTCATATCTTCGACACTTTCTGGTTCATATTTTTGGTTTGTCTGTAAATTAATAATAACGTTGGGAATGTCAACTAAATTATTTGTACGGCAACAATGCAAAAAGTTTTACCTGAACAGTAGCAGTGTTAGTGTCTTTGATGAGGTTCCTCGATTTCTTTTTTGAAGAATTCGACTTCTTTTTTATCCTTCCTAAAGATCCCATAAAGCCTGTAGCAGCTACATTAGTTGTGGGAGGTAAGGTTCTTAACAACTCTAACATCTTTTCAGCTGCTCGTTTTTTCGACACCTGTTATACATTAAATTGTTAAAGCCAAAAATATAAATTGTATAATTTTCAAGTTTTTTATTTTTAACCTTCTTTCCATTTCCTTCTCCTATACTTTCGAAGTTTTCTCCGACCGAACACCTTGTGACAAACGTCCTCATATGAGGCTGACCCTTTTCGCCGATTACTTCAAACAGTACATTTAAATTTCTTTTAAGTGCAATTTCGTGCACCAAGGAAATAGGCGACTTGATTTCCGTTGTAGTTTCGGAATCGGTAAATCCTTCGCCACCTATAAATTTCAACAAAACAATTGAAAATATAAAAAAAATAATAAAATGCGAAGTCCAATGTCATACCACAAGTAGCATTTCGTGTTGCATATTCGTCAATTGGTAGGCTTAAAAGAATTTGAAGTGCTTTAGAGGCTGCATCGTGCCTTGCTGCCTGAGATGTGACTCCCTCACCCGTAAACGAACGTTCCCCTACTTTAACTACAACTTTATACAATGCAGGTTTTCCTGAATAAAAACGCTGAACAAAAGGAAAAACAGTTAATGATAATAACATTTATAATGTAAGAAATAAGTCGACTGATTTTTTACCGGATCAACTCTTGGAGTATAACCGCCTCGAAAATGGGTTTTGCCCCCCCTTCCATAACCATAATTGTAATGATTATTATAAGCCTATAAATTAAAAGTGCAAAAAATTAGTAAAAGAATTGCAATGATGACTCTCGACTGTTTTTTACCTGAGTATACATGCCACGATGTGAATGGTACGTAACGAAGCCATTATAATGTTCCCCGTACTGTGGAGATTCTACTAATGTATATACAGTTGGCTCACCTCTTTTCATGGCTAATGCATTTAACTCAACAGTTGGAGTTATGTGACCTGATAAAAAATTAAATGTAAGAATGGTCGGTTTGATACGGATTATATTTCATATCCTACCTTTGTTACCTCTTTGGTTTCGACTCGATTTCGGTGGAGGGTGATCGTATTGTGTATTTTTAAGTGCGATACTAGCAGCTGCATGTTGAGCCTTTTTGATACTCGCACCGTCCGCTGTGTATTCTTCGTTTCCAAATTTTAAAGTAACCGTGAACTTCTTTTTATGAGGAGGTCCCTCTTCATTTGTGAGTCGGTACTGATGTTCAATCTGCAAAGAAAGAGAAAAAAAATTGAAAAAATTCAATTGACGTTTATGTTGATGATTTTTAAAAATATAACTATACATTACCTTATTATACCTCGCAAGTTCATTTACAAGGCACATTGGGGTTTTATCCTTTTCTAGATTTGAGGCTTCAGAATTCGACTGCTGGACCTGTTCGCTTTGTCCGTTGGACTCTGAGGTCTCAGTCGCAGTTGACGACACATGACTGTCCTGCATAATGATCGGTGCAGTTGGTGCCATCGCCAAATGCCCTGAACAATAAAGCTTATAAACTAAATATTATCCTTATTTGAATGAGAGAAAAATCTCAAAACACAAACTAGCCTTAAAAATAATCCTACTTTTTTTTTAAAAAAAAAAGGTATAAAAATAAATTGTTTATTTTACTTTGTTATATAAATATGGAATATATCATTGGTCTTCATATCTATTTCCTTTACCCCCTCTTTTTTTTGTCTCAACATTTGATATATACCCCCTAAGTGGTAAATTTTCTAACAAAGACAAGATGGTTGACCTTAACACCCATTAAAAAATATTACATCAATTTTAAATTTATATAAATTTTTTGTTCATGCCTTATCTACATACATACAACCCCCTTCATAATTAAAAAGGATATTTAGTATAACAAAATTTACAAGTGAGAGCCTTTGAAATTTTTTTTTTATCGTCATACTTGGTCTAGAAAGTATTTAAACAAAAAATAACAAAGAAAAATAATAATAAAAAATGTATATCTCCTTCACTTTTACTGCTACAGAGAAAATATACAAACTACTATAGCATGCAAAATAAAATAATAAAATTAAAATTAAAAAATCAGGAGAAAAGGTGATTCTTTCATAAACTTGTATATGAAAACTAGGTCGTACTTAAAAAAAAAAGTATACCTATTGTGTTCTGTTTTTGTTAAATTTTATACAGATAATTAACTTAATTTTGTGGGAGAGTGCTTTGTAACATTTATGACATTTTTTAGTATAAAAACTCTACTAACAGAGTCACAGAAATATCAAATATGTTATTTACAAATTGGTTAATGACTGATATCGTTAATGTTATGCCTACCTGTAGTACACCACTTATCGCCAAATATTCCTTTTAAATCGTGTACATTAACTTCTACGTTGTAATAAGTTGCATTGGTAAAACAAATGCTCAACATCAGTAGGAGTAAATGCTTGCATAAACCTATCCAAAACAAAATAACCAACTAAAACACAAATGAAATAAAAAAAGAAAATAAATACATTTAAAGCAAAACTTTCCCACATTTTAAAAAGAATAATATAACAATTAAACTTATTAATATAATCAATGAAATGAAATTGTGGGTTTTAATGTATTGCACATAGTGAACTTTCAAAAACATTACACTGTCTCTCTATTAGTATGAAAAATATTTATGTTGTTTCATAAAGCAACGGTTGATTGCAAAAGGAACCACCTGATCTTCTGATACTGTGGCTGTAAAAGAATACGCACATATTTGGGTTGAAACATAAAAACAGTGTATAACTAGTACATTTATTTTATGTCTGTGCTTTAATATTAACCAATTAAGCTGTTTAAGTCAAATTCGACATGCAAAGGTTGAATTTTTTAAACGCAAGGAATCGGTAGGCGATCTATTGAGTGAAAATGTTATGATGGTTTTCTTAGAATAACTAAATAAATTTTTAAAAGTGAGTACCTAGTGAAGGTAAATGGCACACAAGTCTAATTATTTTGGTAATAAATTAGCAAGCTGTAACAATTCACACCTTATACAACTAACTATTACTTATCTTAAATTAAACAAATAAGCACACAAATAACAAAATCTAGTAAACACAATTTTCCACCAGTACGCATGCTGTTGGTAAGCATAATTAAACCGGCAAAATGAACAAGCTCGACCAATTATTACTGAAGGTTTACTGAAAATACTGATGACAAAAAAAGGACATAATGCAATGAAAGGGTATGTAATTTATTTATCTGGGAAATAATAACTAATGTGGCATGCAAATCAATACAACTAAAAGTGGGGAGAGTTTCAATCCCAACCCAAGATGTAGTAATTTATATATTTTTTTAATATCCTCATTTTTGGTTCTAAGTCAGTTTTAACAAATTACAACAAAACGCAATTACCACAGTTTTGTTTCATAGAAATGATAGAAATGAAAAATGACACAAAAAAATGAATGAATGAAATGATAAGATAAATGTCCTTTTTAAAAAGGACAGTTTTGTTTCTTCGTTTTGTAAAATTTTGGAAAAATATACCTATTTAAAGTATACAATTTAGATGTCCTAAAAAGTACTTCCTTCTTGTCACAAAATAGACATACATAAACAGTGGAAACATTCGAATAATAAAAGTTAGAAAGATATTACACATCATAAATGAATTTAAGTGTCATGCTAATTACTATTTTCACACAAAGTAGAAACAGCCAAAACAAAATCCCAAGTGAATGCAATTTTTTTTAATTCTTCTTTTTATTTGATATTTATTATTATCTTTCTTTTTGTTTGACAGTGGGCAGCATATTTTGTTTACAAATTTCTTTAATCCGGTCCAGAGTGATAAATGATGAAATCTGGCCATTTCATTGTGTTAAATGCTAGGAGAAAACAAAAAACATTTACTTACACCAATTATTTATAGATTTCAAGGTAATGTGCAATGCAAAATTATCTGAGTTAAATAATGAGTAAGAGTTCCGTAAGAAGTAAAATCAACATATGTCGTCATTTATAAATTTAAAAATCCATCATAAATCAAAATTAAAGCTTTTGTTTAATATGTAAGAAAATAAATTAAACAAATTTCACAAGGAATAAAAAAGTTTTAGTGTAATTTCAAAAAATAAAACAGCATAAATGATCAACTATTTTCCTAGGCCAACAAAAAGGTTTTACTGCAGTTTTCATATGGAAAAATGTTCAAGAAATCTACCGAATTTCAAAGTGAACTGATTTGTACTATAAATAAATCTCAGGTAGTGTGTCAAAAGCCATGATAAAAACATAAAAACTTTAAAAGCCAATATGATCAGGTATATAGACTACCAATAGTGGAGAAAAATGAACTGATGTGGTGAGCATAAAAAGCATGACTAAGGATGTAGAATCAACCCAAATCCAAGTTTATTAAATATGCTTGCACATGAAAGCAACTAGCAGTGTTACACAAAAAGCTGTCTAAGATTTTTTTAAATATTTTTATAGTATCCTTCTTTTTACTCAATAAAGGGCTCCTGTTAATAAATTGCGTTTCACTTGGAATAAATTTCAAAAAATCGACCAACATTCAAAGTGAATTGTTAAAATGTTTGTTAAAATGTTAACGGTGAAATCAGTTGGCATGACGAACATGGATATACGACAGTAAAATTTGGATGTTCCATACCGCACTAAAAATAGTACCAAATGAATTGATGCGGCATACAAATCAATGCAACTAAAAGTATAACAAGAGTTAAATAATAAGTAGAATCACACAAACTGCTGAACAGAACAACTGCCCAAAGAGTAATCCATCGCTTCCAAGATACTGGAGGATACTCAAGAAGTCATGAATCATGATCGATGGCCATCAACATATCGCATATCATATATCAGAGAGATGATAGTTTTACTTTTTCAAATATACTCCATAATCGACATTCTATCGCTGTTGAGATCAAGCAACGACTTCAACAAGTTAGAAATTTCAGTTTACGCACTGAAAGGAGAAAATTTTCAAAAGCTGGATTACATGAAGGCCTGCCATTGGTCCAGAACTTCTGTCAAGGCACAGAACAGCTCAGTTAAGCTTCAAAAGAAATCACATCAATTGGTCAGAGCAGGATTGGACTAAAATCTTTTTTTCGGATGAGTCAAGGTTTTGTTTGCGGTCTTCTGACAGCCGAGAGTGTGTTGTGAGAAGAACAGGAGAGCGATATATCTCTGCAACATTTTCACTCTGGAGAAGCACTGTGGTGGTGTTATGGTTTGGGCAGTCATTTGTATGGAAGACGGCACAAACTTGAGCTCCCTAACAGCTATGTAATGTAGATGCTTAATCATTAGTTGTTACTTATATGCCACTAATTAGCAAAGGTTTTTGTTACATTGCAAAGCCCCACACAGCTAAGATCATTGATGACTACTTGGAACGAGCTTCAAATCAATGTATGAAGAGGCCAGCTTGTAGTCTTGACTTAAAACCCTATCGAACACCTTTGGAACGAGTTGTTAAAGAGGTTAAAAAGTCACCCAGTGATGTCAGAGAATTTGCTGGAATTAAGAATGGTGCTGTTTGAGTAGTAGTATAAAAATATTCCACAAGACTACATTTACAATCTCATAAAATCGATGCATAAATTCGAATGCAAGCAGTGACCAACACAAAAGGAGGAAATATTCCTTATTGAATTGAATATTTTCTTGATTTATCCATTTATGTTCAGTGGTTATAATTGACCTATTTTAATTATTTCAATTAATTATACTTTTATGTAAGGTATTAGTTCGGATGAAAAAGTTAGTGACTTTGATTCATTCGGACACCAACTCCCCACATTTGAAAAATGGCAAAATAGAGGGATAATTCAAACGGTTCTAGGTTGAGATGGGGAGTTAGTGTCCGAATGGACCGAAGACACGATAGCTCAAGTGGTTACAGCAGCCGTGTATTGAGACAAAGGTCGTGTGTTCGAATCCCACTCATGACACTAACTTTTTTCATCTCAACCAAGGCCTTACAAAAAAATAATAATTAATTTTCTTCATTGTTCCCATAGCAACATTTTTGGTAAAATTGTTTTACTCAGTCTAATTTTTTAATATTTACCTATATCTTATATTTTTCTTGAAAAATATCCAGTAAACAAACAAAAAATTAAACAATTGCAAGTATTTTTTTAAATTGTCTTTCACCGCAGTTTAAAAGTAGAGCAACAGAATAAATCAAGAAATGTATTTAATGCATAGCTTATCGAGTCAGTACTAACCACTCAGCCACTGTCATCCCACAACTGAGTTAGTATGTATTTATTTACATGTTACATAGTACATCTTACAAGTAGAAAAACACAATAAATCAAGAACATATATATCAAGTAAACAAAATTTATGTCTGAGCACTTCTTCAGTTAATGTGATAAATGGGGTGGGACAAATTGGCCCCCTGACTATTACAAACTAAAAAATGAAAGATCAAGAGATTTTTAACCTTTTGGAAATAAAGTTCAGTCAACATTGAGAGGAAAAACAGCACAGATGATACAGTTTTTACTGTTAACCAATAACCACGTTGGCAAGGATTTATATACATTTTATGTACCTATTTTTACAGTTGGGGATGTCAATATAGAGAAAATACTAAGGTTCTAAGGTAAAACAAAGGTATGAAAAAGGACTAAATACGACTGTACAAATAATACATATTTATCTATATCTTATATTTTTCTTAAAAAATATCCAGTAAACATAAAAAAAAGTTAGAATTAGAGCAACAGAATAATTCAAGAATGTATTTAACACAGGGCTTATCGAGTCAGAACTAACCAAAAGCCCACCATCGTCCCACAACTGAGTTAGTATCAGTTTATTTACATGTTACAAAGTGGTAGAACATTATACCTTGCTAACAAGTAGAAAAAAAATAAATAAATGAAGAACATATATATCAAGTAATCAAATGAAATTTATGTCTTGAGCATTTCTTCAGTTAATAATGATAAATGGCGTACGAAAAATTGTTCCCCTGACTATTAGAAATAAACAATGAAAGATCAGATTTTTAACCTTTCAGAAATAAAGTTAAGTCAATATTGAGAGGAAAAACAACACAGAAGACAAGTTTTTACTGTTAACCAATAACAGTACATGATGGCAAGGATTTATGTACAATTTATGTACCTATTGCTATGATAGGGGATGTCAATATAGAAAAAATACTATAGTTCTAAGGTACTACATCTTATATCTACATCATCTAAGGTAGAACAAAGGTTTGAAAAAGACCTAAATACGACTGTACAAGTTGTACATATTTATCTATAACTTATATTTTTCTTGAAAAATATACAGTAAACAAAAAAATTTAAAAGTAGAGCAACAGAATAAATCAAGAATCTATTTAATGCATGCCTTATCGAGTCAGAACTAACCGAAAAGCCACCGTCGTCCCACAACTGAGTTAGAATCAGTTTATTTACATGTTACATAGTGGTAGAACATTATACCTTGCTAACAAGAAAAAAAAAATCAAGAACCTATATAAAAGTAAACAAATGAAATTTGTTTTGAGCACTTCTTCAGTTAACGTGATAAATAGCACACAAATTGTCCACCTGACCATTATAAATTAAAAAATGAAAGATCAAAGATTTTTGATTATTATGTTTTGGACCTTTTGGAAGAGTTCAGTCATTTTGAGAGGAAAAACAACACCTGATAGTTTTTACTGCTAACCAATAACCATGCTGGCAAGGATTTATGTACAATTTATGTACCTATTGCTATGATTAGGGATGTCAATATAGATAAAATACTATATTTCTAACGTACAACAAAGGTTTACACAAAGGTTTGAAAAAGGCCGAAATACGGCTGTACAAATTAAAACGTTCAAAATGAACAACGGTACTTTAATACCCGAAAGTTTCCTTCAAAATCCAAACGTTCAAAACGGGTTTAACAAAGGATAAAAGTGAATTTGAACAAATTAAAACGGTAAATCAAAACATCGCGATCCAATTCTTTTTTTCCCCATCAGAGACCAAAAACCCCAAAACTAATAGAGAGCCAATGCAATATCCACACTAAAATAACACGCACAAAGGTTACAAAAAAAGGCATGCAATTAAATAAATGTTTCGAGGTAATAAATGGTATTTTGTATATTGAACTCACCTCCTGAAGGCCTTTGGCCCACAGTGTGGCTTTGCTGATGACTGCTTGTTATCATTAGCTACTTATAACCTACAACATTAACAACTTTGTTTTAATTATTTTTGTCACATTTTGTCATTAACGATCGTGTTGTGTATTGGAAATTGTTTATTTTTAAATTTTAGGTGATTAATCGTGTTGGTTTTTTTTTTAATTATTAGACCTGTATCAATTTTGATGGGGGATTTTTACTGTTGTTGAAATGTGTGCCAGTGTAGATTTTTGGTAATTGGCTTTTTTTTTTCTTTTTTTTTTTTGAAATTTGTGAATTACCTTGTCGCAGCGTGTCCCCGTGCTGCGAGGGTTATCGCGATCTTCGAACGGCTCTCACCTCGTTGGACGAAGGAGCGCGTGAAGGAGGCATCGAGTCGGAGTTTCGCCGTGTTCGAATGTAAATCGGCCGTGAGACGGTGCCGACTCGGTTCTGCCTTCTCGGTTCTCCCACACGCCGGCCGAAAGCCCTTTAACGTAAATTTGCACAAAGAAGTAGTCGAAGGAGGGACAGTTACGGACCGGTTTCCCTCACACTGACAGCTATTAATCATCGAACGCTAACCTCTCTCTCTTTCTATCTTTCCCCGCCGGATAGCTTCTTCCTTTCCACCTACTAAAAAATGTTGATACACGGGTTAGGGGTTGGGGCGATGGGGCGATCGGAGTGAGGAGGGGACGGGACGGGCCGCTTCTTTCTTTTCCCCGGGGGGTGTTTTTCTTTTCCCTCCGAGAGTACGTTAACCGGGCGAAGGGACGTCCTGCCTAAAAATTAACGATCCTCCCCGGTCACCAGTCGCCTATGTATGTAAGTCTTTACACTTAAAACGAGCAAAAGGCATCGTTTCTTTAAAAAAAAAAAAAATCAATTTTCAAAACCGGAACGAATAATAGTAATTGATTCCGAAAATCCGACTTCTGCAATAAGGCCTTATAATCCTACCCCCCTCCACGGATGCTTTAAGTTCAAATCGGCGCGTAAACAATACGTCCACAATCAAGGTTTTTTTTTTTTTTCAAGGGAAAAACCGGTCAGAACGAATTGAATAAACAACAATAAAAATCGTCCATCAAATAATTTACATACTAATAAAGTCAATGTTCTGGCATAATTTGACAAGATTAAACATAATTAATTACCATTATTAACCAATTATTGCAATAAAGTCATGGCAACATTCGATCTGCAAGTGCCTTGTCAACATAACATAACAAATAAATTAATTCTTAACAAAACTAGAACTTCAAGTGTTCAGTAATACTTTTATAAAATAAAACATAATTAACATTATAAATTACATACTTTATAATAACGTCATGGCAACATTTGATCTTCCAGCGTTCCGTCAAACATTGAAGAAATGAACATAATTAATTAACATAAACAAATTAATTTGTAATTAAGCCGAGACGAAAATCGATCTTTAAGTGTTCAGTCATAATTTTATGAAATAAAACTTAATTAATTAACATTGACATTAAATACTTTGTAATAACGTCATGGCAACATTTGATCTTCCAGCGTTCCGTCAAGCATTGGAGAAATGAACACAATTAATTAACATAACAAACAAATTAATTTGTAATTAAGTCGTGACAAAAGTCGGTCTTCAAGTGTTCTATCAAACATTTGCAAATTAAACATAATTACTTTAAAATTAGTAACGAATTACTTTGTAATTAAGTCATGACAACATTTGATCTTCAAGTGTTCTGTCAAACACTGACGAAATGAACACAATTAAAATTTTGAGCGAAATAATTTGCAATTAAGTCATGACAATATTCCATCTTCCAGTGTTAGGTCAAACACTGACGAAATGAACACAATTAATTAAAAGAATGAACAAAATAATTTGTAATTTGTGACAAAAGTCTATCTTCAAACGTTCGGTCAAACTTTGACGAAATAAACATAATTAATTAAAATTATAAGGAAATACTTTGTAATTGTCATGACAACGTTTGATCTTCAAGGGTTCTGTCAAAATTGGCAAACTAAACATAACTAATTTAAAATTATTACTGAAATACTTTGTATTTATGTCATGACATTTGATCTTCAAGTGTTCTGTCAAACATTGCCAAAGTAAACATAATTAATTAAAATTCTTAACGAAATACTTTATAATTAGTCATGACAACATTTGATCTTCAAGTATTCTATCAAACACTGACTAATTAAAAATAATTAACTAAAAATTAAGGCAATACTTTATAATTGTCATGACAACGTTTGATCTTCAAGTGTTCTGTCAAACATTGACGAATTGTACACAATTAATTAACGTAATAAACAAAATCATTTGTAATTAAGTCGTGACAAAAGTTCATCGAATTTTGCGTCGTGTCGTTAAACGTTGACAAAATGATCACTATTTGAATTTGTAGTAAAACTATGGCAACATTCAAGGGTACAGTCAATTTATTGACGTAAAAACATAATTAATTATTCCATATATGTTTAGCGATCATCATTGGTATATTTTAATTATTAATTAATTAATTAATTATACTTTTATCTAAAGTCTTGGTTGAGATGAAAAAAGTTAATTGTCACGTGCGGGATTCGAACCCACGACCTTCGGCTCAATACACCGCTGCTTCAACCACTTAAGCTATCGTGACTTACAAGCTATCGTGGTTGAAGCAGCGGCGTATTGCGCCAAAGATCGTGAGTTCGAATCCCGCTCGTGACAATAACTTTTGCATCTCAACCAAGGCTTTAGATAAAATTATAATTAATTTAAGTAAGTAATTATTGTCAATTTTCTTTTTTGATATAAAACCATGGCAATGTCCGTCACGTGGTCTGTCATACTTAAACACAATTAAATCATCTATCAAATAACTTTTAATAATCGTGGCATTGACATGGCAGTATCTTAACTTAACGAAATAAATTCAATTAACATAACAAACATAATAATTTGTAATAAATTTAAGACAACATTCCATCTTCAAGTGTTCAGTCATAATTTGATTAAATAAACACTATTAATTAACACCATGAATCAAACACTTCGTAATAAATACAAGGCAACATACGAAATTCAAAGGTGCTGTCGTAACTTATCGTTAAAACATAATTATTGTTAATGTTCTTAATTACATAAACTCAATTAATCAACACCACGTACCAAATACTTCGTTCACTCATGACAGCATTCGACCTTGTGCATTCTGACAAAAATTAACTAAAAACATAGTTAATTAATAATGTCTACTTTGTTGTCATGGCAGTATTCGACCTTCATAGGTTTAACACAGACCGACAAAATAAACTTTTTTTTAACCGACTTGTATTTGTTTAACCGTTTACCTATTTTTTTGTTTGACAAATTATTTTCTATTAATTTTCTGACGAAACATGTATTTCTTTATTATATTATATTACTCCTGGGCATGCACATTGCACCGTCCGGCGTCCAGTTTCATCATCATAATAGAAATGTTGAACTCATCTTTTCATTGGAACTTCTTTTCCTACTGAAAATGCGTAGATAGTGGATTGAACTCACCTTGTACCAATTATTAGTAATCCAGGCTGTAAACCTCCTTTAGCTGACAATTGACTAACTTAAATTGACAAAACAAAAATTAACGACAGTTTTCGGTTGAGTTCCAAGAACGAGATTACTCATGCTGATAGCAGAATTGCAGAATTAGCATTTGTGCATTGAGTTTTCTACGCGTTGTGACGTTTTAAAGATGCCCGGGAGAAAAATGCACTCAATCGCCTACGAACTGATTCCTTTATCAAAATGAAATATATTCTTCCTTTATTGTCATTAAATAGTTTGCTGACTTCTATTTTCTTATATTGTAAACTGTAAAATAAAGATTTATTTAAGAAAACCCCTCAAAAATTCATTTGATTATCTCACATTGCGTTATTGATGATGTTCTGTTATGATTATTAGGATCCATTGGACCTATCGAGGTTTAACATTCTAAGAAATAAATCGAGAAATCTTGTCTGTAAATCACAAAAAAAATTGCTTTTCACATATTGCTCGATTATTAGTACAACAATAAAAAAACATGGTCTCAAAAACAAAGACAGTTCTCATTCGTGGCTTCATTCCTTGATGTTAATGAATTAGACGGGTTTTTTGCTTCAATGTCCCTTCCCTCCAAATTAAAACTCCATTTTCTGTTCATCTCACCGAAAACTGTCCTTTACTTTTTCATATATTACTCATGAAATTTTTTGAAAAGCTATACTTTCAATTAAATTTAATGACATTCCGATCTTATTCCCTGTTAAACTCATCTCTTTTTCCCTTCCTGTTACTTTATACATAACGCACATTTTGAACTTTCCTCTCGCCTCATCCTGTTTTCCTTCTAGTTAGTCCTAACAGTTACGACTAGCTACCCTAATGGTAAAACCTAAAGTCCTAAACCCACCATTGCTAGTAGTTACTACTATCCCTATTAGTATTTTTCCACCACTCCTTAAGGCATTCGAGAAGATTTTATTTAAATAAATATCCTTATTTCTCCCCCTTATATTCTCTTTTCAATCTGGCTACTGAAAACTTCATAGTTGTGAGTGTACTATTAATGTTCTACTTAAATTTTGCAATGCATTTAGCTCTGTAAATCATATTTTCCCTATTTATAAACTAACACATATTTTCGGTTTTTCTTCTACTGCTACTAATCTCATCTTCTAACTATCTGGCACAACTCAAGAGTGTTAAAGCTTCAAATTCTATCTCAATTTCAGCGGTACCCCAAGGCTCTACTCTTGGGCCTTTATTGTTTTCCATCTTTCCAAATGATCTTCCATTAGTTCTTAATTTCTTCCAATTTCATCTGTATGCTGATGACACTCAGCTTTACAAAATATTTATTTTTATTTGAACAGCAATGAGTATAATTTTTTATATTAAAAAATCTAGTACCTATTTGGAAATGTAAAACACCAATAGGTCTTACTTGAAAAAATAAAGTTGATACTCAATTGCCTATTACTGACATTAAAAAAAATGTTTATACAACTTATTTTAGATTCTTAAGAAAAATTATTGGGAACTTTATTTTGACAGAAATTATTACAGAATACAGATGATATACAATCCCAAAAATATTCATTTTTGTTTGAACAACAGTGAAAATATGAAATACGCTCCAATTGCCTTGAATTGAAATACCTCCAGAAATACGTAACCAATAAACGTTCTTGGTGTCATTCTTTATATTAAAAATCTAATTTTTAAAAATATAACAAACTTCAGTAGATCTCATTTGAAATAAATAAATAAACCGTATATGTTTAGCAGTCATAATTGAACATATTATTTCAATTATTTTTTTTATCTAAGGCCTTGGTTTTGATGAAAGAGTTATTGTCACAAGTGGGATTCGAACCCATGACCTTTGGCTAAATACACTGCTGCTCTAACCGCTTCTTTCTTCAGTCTTGTGGGAGGTCAAGTCTTGGGGTCTTCAATCCACCAAAGGGAGTGGGTTCGAATCCCTCTCATATCACTAACTTTTTCATCTCAACCAAGATCTTAGATGAAAAGAATAATTAATTGAAATAAATAAATAATACAATTAATTAAGGTTTTTATCTTAACTAAAAATTGTAATATATTAATTGGTCAAGCGGACCATGAAATTAATGAATTTAATAAATAAATAATGTTGACATTCAATTACCTATTACTGTGAAATAAAAAAATGTTTAGACAACTTATTGTAGACCCTTGGGAAATCGCATTGAAATAGACACCTATTTTTTTATCACTCCACCTTCCCTGCCATTCCTAAAGGATATCCAGCAGACCAACCAACTTTTAAATAAATTTTTACTGACACATTTAAGTTCTTTACATCATTACTACTCCCATATAAGGTAATCTGGATTTGGAGAAAGAAAGATACCCTGAATACAAAGTTATTATGTAATGTTGTGATTAATGATTTTTCATAATAACTATATATTTGATAGAATATGATTTCCAAATTATTGTATTTTCTTTTTTCCCCAACAAAGAAGTTTAGTAATTAAATTATTATAAAAAGTACATGATTGAGAGTTCATTGTGAGATACAATTAAAAAAAAAAAAAAAAAAAAAATTAAATATTCAAGGCACAGCTCCTTTTCCAGATTTATTTATTACTTTTGTTTATAACTTAAATTTAAAATAAAACGCAACACTCAGTGACTTCATAATGCATTGATTCGCCTATACAAATGTACACAATTATTATACTTTTAATAATTAAATCACAAACTAGTTTAAAACTAATTTTTCTAAAAGTGTTCTTTATCGATAGTATCCATTCGGGATTTGAAAAGTCAAATAGTCCAGCGCTTTCAATACAGTACCGTTGTATTTTAATTCGTAGGGTTTACCAGCAAAGTGTTGATGTTCTGTATGCTGGGTCTCGTGGCGCAAACCGTTCTTAATGGTGCCGCCGTCCGAAGGCGGCGTTTTCGGTCTGAAAGGCCTGTGCAAGGCAATGTCGACTTTGGTCTCCAAGTCAACCATCTTTCGCCTCAATTCCTTGAGTTCGACACCTTGTTTCTCAACCGTGAACGTAACGTTCTGAAGGGCTTCGGACAGTTCGGTTATTTCTCTCTGCCTCCCCTCTTCCTTTTTTGTCTCCTTCCTCACCTGTCTTGCATACTCGAGGAACAAGACAACAGCGGCTATGCTGAATATTATAGTCTCGCCTAATAGATTCGCGCCCAGTTCTATCGCCATCGCTTCGTTCAGTTGAGGAATGTCGACCGGCTTTCCCATGTTCATAACCCACATTTTCATTTTCACCTCACACCAGTTGTAAACTGAAAAAAATAAATTCGATTGTTTTAAATTAAAAATAATGCTAAATAAATGTTTATGCAATAGCATATATGTACTCCATCTGTGTACTGTAAAGTAAAATGACAAATTTAGAAAAATCCGTTAGAAGAAGTTAAGCCCTTCAAAATTAAACTTCTTACAAGAAACTTAAGAAATCAACTTAAATCTTACATTGGGCGGGAGGCATGCAAATCTGTTTTCTGAAAACAGGATGTTTTTTAGCATAAGAAATAATGTTAGTAGCTATAGGCTTGCTAATGTGCCTAACGAACAAAAATCCAAGTTTGGCTACGGGAAAAGCACCGATCGGCATGATTCAAAAACCCAAAAAACAAACAAAAAACACTAAAATTTAAATAAACCGGCTGGAAAATTGGTAGCCCAATTTTAGAAGGTATCGCTATGAGCTAACTGTTACAATTGTAAACATAAACACCGTAAGAGTATTTCTTTATGAGCTTTTTTTAAATTTTTTAATCATATAATTTTTTTCATAGATAATTCGCACTTACACTGTGCAGGAGGCATGCAGACATGCCGTCTGAAGAAAGGATGAGTCTTGGCCCTTTCCTTAGCATAATTGGCAATCGGTTTACTTAACTGTTTTAACAATAAAGCTGCAAGTTTGGCCACTGGAAATGCAGCCATTTCAGACTGTTTTCTCCTTTTTCTTTCACTTCCACCTAAAATTCCATATTTATTGAAAAGACGGAAGACCTTGGTGGAGTAAAATCCGCAAGGAATGGAGGAAAATTGATAACTCTCATAACCTTTTGATGATAAGGACAAAGGGTGAAACTGCCATGACGCTTCCTACGAGTTACAATTCAAATCATCAGCACCAAAAATCAGTGTGTAATAGAAATTGTCTGATGATTAAGTGTTAAAACAAAAAATTAAAATAAACACAAATAATAAATAAAATGAGGCTGAAAATTTCTTAAAATATTAATCCATTTATGTTTAGAGTTCTAATTTACCAAATTACTTATTTCAATTAATTATTCTTTTTATGTAATGTCTTGGTTGAGATGAAAAAGTTAGTGTCACGAGCGGGATTCGAACTCACAACCTTTGGTTGAACTCACTGCTGCTATAACCACTTGAATTATCGTGACTTCGAACCACTCGGACATCAACTCTTCATCTCAATCTACACCTTTTGAATTTTCCATTTTTTTTTTTTTTGCCATGTTTTCAAATGCAGTCAACTCTTGATAATCCAAAACCTAAGGGACCACAAAAATAATTCGAATTCTCAAGAGGAAAGGATTCCAACTGCCTCTGCGATATCCACTTGCCGGGGACCTCAATGACTCATTCTCACAATAATATTGTGAATTTCTGGTTCATGATGGTGTCTTTCCATGGTTAAAAAGAATACAACCATTCTGTACACTTCCTTTGTCCATTTCCTATTAGAATACTGCTTCATAAATTGGTCCCCACATTACATTACCTATATTAAATTATTACAACAAATTCAGCCAACATTTGTTATGTGGATAGGCTGCAGCAAAATGAGTATATCCTGTTGAAGTTCCTGCAGCAGCAAATTTAATTTTGCTTGAATCTTGACATACTTAGTGCTCTATTCTTGTATAAACTTCATAACTATAAAATATACTCCTTTGAGTTACTTTGACTAATAAATTTCCACATACCCTCTAACCAAACCCAATTCTGCTCACACTTAACTCCAACTGCCACGAACTACCTGTACCATTTTCAATAGACCCCACAGACTTGGCAACAAAATTAGTAATAATATCGACTTCTTTAACAACTCTCACAACAAGTAACCAATTCAAAAATTTCCTTAAAATCTATCCTCTAGTCACTCACTACCTTTCAGTCATTATAGATTATATATTACAATTTTTTTTTAATTGAAAAAACCAACAAAGGTATCTATCTATTACATCGGCCAGGGAGGACCAAGAGGTTCCTCCGCTTTGACAAGCATTGTATATTTACTTTCGGAGAGAAGCCTCTTTTGGAGGATATGGATAAAAATCATTTACAATATACACCTATGAAAAAGACCACATCCTTTGGGGGTCCTCCCTGAGGTCCTCCGTGTCTCCCCCAATCAGCAAGGCCTACCAACCTTTGTCCCCTCGATCTGTTTTAAGATGCCTGCTGTTCACTAATTTTTGTATTGTCATTATTATATTTTGTGATATAGCTTCAATTCTTTCAAATATTTAATAGCATTATCAATTTTACATTGGTCGTCTTGTAAAAGTTAGCTCAGTGAAATGGTTAGGGCGGCTCTGTGCACGTTATTCAGAGGGTATAAATTCAATTTCTTGCATCAAAACCTTAATTTGTATGTAAAATCTATATTAAAAGTAGAAATTCAACATGCAGGAGTTTGTTGCCATAATTTAGATTAATAAATACAACAGTTCATGTTTAATTGAATTGTTCAATTTTTTCTCTGTTTTATTACTACCTGTTACTACTATATATGAGCATTACTATACTATTATTGCACCTTATTATTCTATAACTTATAGGCTTTAAGTAAAGTAGGTTATTATTTTCTATCTATTTATTATAGTCTTTATTTTTTCTGCTTGTTTTTTAATTTAGTTTATTAAGCTTTATTATATACTTATTTAATGTTTAATCCACCCTCACACACTCACTGCCACTACTAGTACAAACGGTTTTATTGCAACTCAAGTTTAACTTTTACTATTTATTACATGTATTTATAATTTTATATAATGGCAGCATAGAATAACATTTGAGCAAAAACAGAAGAGAGATTATTGTGTATCAAAAGCATGGTGCATTTATAACCCTCATAAGATCTGAGTTAAAGGATTTCTTACCAGACTCAGAATAAGCCCTAGACATTTGACACTTTATGTGCTCTGCAAAGGTCGTTTGATGTGTCACATCATGACTCTACAACATATAGAACGAGTAAGACTGCCACAACATAGGAGAAATGTGCTTGGCCGCAGTAGATATTGGGTTGTCTATTGCACAGAATAGTTTCGTGAAAAAAGTTTTTTAAAATTAAATATCACATGGGATAGTATTTATTAGCATGAATAGCCATCAACTCTTATTTGGAATAAATTATTGATTTATGTAAAATGTAGCAAGTTGGCAAACGCTTAAACATTAAAAAACGTCACAACATAATAACAGTAATAAGAAAATAGTATCCAATTCATGGTCAGTATAGTTGCTAAAACTTTTTTTAATCTCACTTAAAATAAAATAAATAAAGTAATAGTGTGGTGATTAGTGACCGTTAGTCGATGATTATTCGGAAATCGTGCGATGCGATCTGGTGTGTTGTAGGTTTTATTACATCACACACATAACAAACATTTTCTTTATCGTGTCAACGTTTCAATCTTTATAGAGATCATCTTCAGGGCATGGGATTTACAAACATTGTTTAAATTTAACAAATGCATGTAGGATGTGGAGAAAAGTGAATTTATACAATGAAAAAAATATTTTTTATATTCAATCAAAGTATTGAGTAAAGTATCAGAGTAATTAAATAGTGTGTAAAAAGGTATAGACAATTTCTGTTTTTTGCTTGCATTTGATGACAATTACGCTTAAATTTCCTTTTTTCTTCCTTTGTAATTTCTTTTTACAACAAGAGCTGGGGGGTATACATTTTGAACTTCATAAAAACCATAAAATTTCAAAGATCAGCTCTTAGATTTTTATTATTTTCATTTTTATTATATTATATTATTTAAGCTCATTCTAGCTTCTAGCAATCCTGAAGAAGGATCTTTGGCCAAAGCTGAACCGCAAATGCAATAAATAATTTGAAAAATCTCAACAATGTTTTGGGCAATTTTATGGTTTTATTCATTTCATAATTTTCACATTTGAATTATAAAACAAAACTTAAAAACATAAAGAAAAATTAAAAACAATTTTCTCGCTTTAGTTGGTAAGTAATGTAATTTCTGCCATACTGGAGGGCTTATCATTCAATTATACATACTTTTGAAGTATTACATTTCTTCTGAAAATAAGTACAAAATAATTAGCTTATTATTGATTTATATAAGCTCAAATTTACACATGCGTGTACAGAACTGAGCCTAGCTCTTCTCTCAGCCCACTGGCAATTCTACCTTTCATGAAATTTACAATAAATTATCAGCAGGCCTAGAGAATCACCCACCCCGGGTGTTGGCGGTGGGGTCAGACCTTGATTTTATCCATCCAGACCCGAGGTTCGGCTCCTGGGGTTATCAACAGCTAGGTCAATTCAGCCCCCAATGCAATCATCTCCTAAATCCAAACCCATTAACATTCTCACTCATACATAAATACATTCTTTCCTATTTACATACCATTGACTTAGTTATGGTGGTGAAGTACTCACTATTCTTCCATCACCTGTTACACTTATTATATAACTAACGTAATTGAGGTCGATGGGGTACTCAATATTCCTCCATCGGCCCTCTCACACTGGGCATTCATGCAAATAAATACACTCTCAGCACACACTAAGGACACAACACATTATTATGTACAATAAAACAACCCTGTTTCTTCCAAGAATTGGAACTGAGGACCCAAATACTTGCTACTGTGCTCAAGAACAATTCTCATGTTGGTTGGCATTCCTATACACTCTCTATATGGAGCCAAGGAATTACACACTTCAATTAGATAGGACAGATTGAGATTCATGTACTATATATTATTACCTATTCTTAATTGGGTGATGATGACCTTTGATCTATGAGTCAAGTCCTCCAAGGGACACCTATTGACAATACTCTTAATAATAAATAGTTTATTTTATATACATATTACATATAATTACATTTTACATATTAATTCTGCATTTTTTTAAATAAAAAATTCTAACGAAATTCACTAATTTCGTGGTCCGCTTGACCAATTAATACTTTACAAGTAATTAAGGTTTTTAGTTGAGATGAAAAAAATGGAGATGGGGAGTTGATGTCCGAGTGGATTGAGGTCACGATAGCTCAGGTGGTAGAGCAGCGGCGTATCTAGCCGAAGGTCGTGGGTTCGAATCCCTCTCGTGCCATTAACTTTTTTTCATCTCAACTAAAAACCTTAATTAATCCTAACGAAACTTGATTAATTTCCCTAGAAACTACCAATACAATCTATTAGACACTTTAAAGATTTTTTTGCACCCAAATTGAACGACTATTCTATATGAAAAAATGATTATGCAATAAGGTTTTTCATCCTTTTTTCATCCTGACAAACAAATTATGTAAGCCTTTTTATCATTCTTTGATGGTATAATAAATAATATGAATTTGTCTATTACTCATTTCTCTATTCAATGGTTGGAAGGGTTATAAGCAGGGTGAGGCTAAGTATTAG